TGTGGAGAGATTGGGATTAGAATTGGATGAGTTTAATTATTTTTGTTCTATATCCACATCTGTTTAAGTTTGCATTCCAAAGCTGGTTTCCCAGCAGCCTTTCTTGTCATTCTTTTTCAGTGCAATTCCTGATGTTGGGGACATGTCTGGAAGATTAAAATACATTGGAGTACCTGATTGCTATTTAATAGTTTATATCTCTTTTTAGCCATTATTGATTATTTTATCTTTGACATCTTTGTTGGATTACAGTATGCTAGCAGAATCACATTATTTGAGGTGGGCAGTCTTATAAATGCTTTTAATTAATTAATTAAATTGGATTCCTGAATAGATCTTGTTACTGAACTTCCCTCCAGACAGCACATTCCTGGAGCAGTGATAGAATTGTCAGTTAGAATGAGAAAAAAAAAACGTAATTTCTTTAATAATTTACATTACACTGGCTATTTCCTCATCCCACTCCAGCAATCACTCTTTATTTGCTAATACTGTTCATTTAGAGCAGCAAATATTAATGTGAGAACTGTCCAAGTGCCTGAGCTTATGGATATTCCAAAATTTCATGCATCCAAACTACTAGCATCAAAAGTATATGTAAGAAATTTGCTCAAATACAAGTTGCTGTTTAGTTCATATGAACTAAATTATCACTACTTTGAACTAGCAGTAAAGTAATTCTTGCATAAAACAAAATTGCAATAGAACAAAGCTGTATCAGTAAGAACTGCCTGGGTTAAGGAGATTCATGGTTGAATGGACAATGACCACAAGATTTTTCAAATTGCAAAACTTTGGAGGATAACCTTTTGATGGGAAGCCTTTACTGCCTTTCCGAAAAATCCCAGAGGTTGGAATCCCAGTGACTTTGATATTATTGGCACAACTGGACTTCATTTTTTCTTTGAAGACATTTTACTTCTCATGCAAGAAGCTTCTTCAGCTCTAAGCTGAAGGAGGTTCTTGGATGAGAAGCAAAATGTCTTTGAAGAAAAACAAGAAAATCCAGTTGCCTTTTGGAAAAAAAAAAAAAAGCACCTTTGGGGCAGATTGCTGTATTGTAAAGGCAAATCTAGATCTGTGTCACTGGCCTGAAACAGAAGGCTAGTATTCGTAGGCCGAGAACCTAAATTTTATTGCAGGGGAGCAAACTTTGGTTCATGCTTTTGGCTAGCAATATTATGACTGAACTGACAAGAGTAGTGATCTATTGCTGACAATCTAACCAAGAATTCTGCAGATGTGAAACTCAACCCTTTCTTGAAACAATTATTCAAGTCAATTCTGGCCTTAATTTAAAAGTTCAGCCTCTAATTAAAGGTCCTGGTTGTCCTTTTCTTCTTGGTACTCTTTAATAATCTCTTATTCTTTCATTATCATCATCATCAATCCAATTGTCACCATTATTATTTTCCTATAAAAGCCCCTTTAGGAGTAGTTCTTTGCATGGAGTAATAAGTGAGGGCAACAAGTTAAACCAGTGGCTGCAACTGAGCTCTGATGCTCAGAAAGCGTGTCTGTAATTGAAATCCAAAATTCCTTTTGAAAGGAAACAAGATACCAATTAAACCTATTATCGTTGTTAAAGAGCAGGGAGAACACCCTTGATGCATTGCAAGTGGGCGAAATAATAGGATGTTATTTCTAATCTTGGAGTATCAGAGTCACTGAAGGCAGAAGAAAAAGTTGCCTTCTTACAAGAATGTCTCAAGAGAAAAATAGGACTGGACACTTAATGAGAATACTTTCTTTTTATTCTTAACTCAATGGCAGATCTCTCCACTATCCAGAAACAATGACAGTTTACTTAGTGACAGCTGGCAAACAGGGCTGTCAAGCTATTCCAGGGATTGCTTACATTTTCAATATCTCTCTGGACTTGATCATGCTGTTATTCTGCCTAGTTCTAGCAAAGCCGTTAGATAGAAATAAGTGGAAAATTGGTAGAAAATAATGGTCCCTTTAATCAAAGTGACAGCACTGGGCACTTGGCCTCTCCCTACAACAGTGTTGATACCAGGGTGGATCCAGTAAGCTGTCACTCATTGTAATCCTTGGGTGGCTCTACTGATTTCAAAGCCATCTGCAGTGATAAAAGCTAGAAATACAACTTTAGGTTTCTATGACTTGCCACAATCCTGATGCCATATTTTATATCAAACTTGCATCCACTTTATTGTGATTGCATGTAAGAACTAAGATTCGTGCAGAAGAACTCCGGACCCTTGCATTTTGTTTGCTGCTTATTGTCCTATTGGGAATATGTATATAATTTCCATGTATGATTTATACTTTTTATTAATACAGTTAGTTGCTCAATCATTGGGCTGTGCATCTTAGTTCTCATCAATTGTGCCATAATTAAAAAAACCACAGCATTCTCTAAAGATGCCTTTTCTATCCGATTTTAGGTTAAAAAGGCAGATATACTTGGCACCAATTTTGGTTCAGTCTTCTCCAACAGTTTGTGTTCCATCAGAGAATTGTGTAAAGTAAGATGAAGGGAAATGTTTGCAGGTTGAGATTGATATAAACATGGTCAGGGAATACCTGTTTATGCTGAATGAGTATAATTTGTGTAATAGTATGTGGGAATAACCTAGACCTAGAGGGACTAGGAGAAGCAATGCTACCTAAGGAATGATCCAGACAAAGCGGGTGGGGGAAGAGAGAGAGAGAGGGGGGGGAGGGAGGGAGGGAGAGAGAGAAAGAGAGAGAGAGAGAGAGAGATGGAGTAAGAAATTTAGAATCTGTTAATTTGCTTTATAATAAAGCAAAATTAGCAAATCTGATTATTTTCCCTGTTTGATTCATCTCTGAGGGCTGACTTCAATATTGCTAGTCCAAAAGTACAAATCTTCCACCATCTTTTTTTTTTAACAGCCTGACCAATTAGGGCAGATTTCTTTCTGTACTCCTTTTTTTTAACTAGGTAAACCGCTTTGTATATTAAAAGCATTTTAAGGATCCATGACATGCTGATTAGCAAGCTAGTTAAGTGAGGACTTGATAACATAGCAGTTCAATCAATATGTAGTTGGATCAGAAATCACACTCAAAGTGTTCTTGTCAACGTCTCCTCAAACTATAGATACCGAAGTATACGAAAAGGTTCAATCTTAAGTCCTCTACTCTTCAATATTTTCATTACTGATTTAAATGAAGGGGTGGATGGAATAGTATCAGATTTACAGATAACAGGCATTTGGATTCGAAGGCAGAAATACAATCCAGAATGATTTTAATAGGTTAGAAAAATGGGCTCAAAATAAGACAATGACATTTAACGGAGACAATGAAAAGTTCTGGACTAATGAAGCAAGATTAAAATGAATAAGTTTATGATGAAGGACACCTAGCTTAATACTTACGAAAAAAGATTTTGTACTAGTGCTCAAATCAAACTGAATATGATTTGAATATGATCAGCAGGGTGATATGGCTGTAAAATAAAGAAAAAGCAATTTTAGACTTTTTCAACTGGAGTATACTTTCCAAATGGTGGAAGCACTTAATTGTTCTTCAGATAGAACTATTTTGAATACTGTGTCTAGTTCTGAGCACCGTGCTTTAATAAATCAGAAAATTTTCTGAAAAGAGCAATAAGAATACTAGAAGCTAAATCCTATGAAAGGAAATTGAAAAGGCTGAGTGTCTTTGGCATTGAGAAAAGACAATCAAAGAGGAACGCAGTAGGTGTCTTGAAAGGATAATACATAGAAGAAAGTCAAGACCTATTTTTTCTTACTCCAGAGTGAAGGACATAGAATTATGGATTTAATTTAGAGCAAATTCCAGTTTCACAGTGGATCTGTCCCAAATTGAAATGATCCTTTAAAATGTTACGATTATCAGCCATATTTGATAATAGCTGATTTTTTAATTAATTAAAATATTCTTTCAAACAACATGAAAATATAATGATAAAAATAACCTGTGTTATAAATAGAATTATACAGATAAGGGAATATCAAAGTAATGTAACTTTACACAAACTCCCTCTATTTTCTAATGATACAATTCCAACACTATGGCAATGTTTTCTGTTGCAGAAAATGTTCTGTTGTGTTCTGTTATGATGATTGCAGGCTTCAGATAATCTTTAAAAATCGTATGAGTACAAAATGAAACAGGCAACAAATCTATTAAAAGGAATCAGGGGAAAATAAGAAAGTGAAATATTTATGAATGCATATAGCTCATGTTGTTCCAGAAGCATAATAAAATTTAATGTTAAGCCTTGCATAGAACAATCCACTTAGATTACCACAGGATTCTAATCTCAAAATGCTTTGATATCTCTGCAATTTTTCTGCAAGAAAACATACGGTGAGAATTTGGATAAAATTATAAGAAAAGATGGAAGAAAGGTTAAAAGCATAAAAATTGAAAGAAATTTCAGAGAAATCAAGTTATATAGATTATTTCAATGTTTATACTTTAGAAAAAATCAAGCCAATAAGGCCAATGATCCATTCAAGTATTTTAAAAACTTAAACTGAAAGATATAAAAAGTGCAAAATATTAAAGTTAGAATGTGCAGGAAATTCAAAGCCGTATGGCATAGTCTATTGTGGAGAAGACAAATTTAGCACAATAATGGAACCACTGAAACCATTTAATTTTTCTTAAACAAAAATAAGAGGAGGTGTGTTAATTATTAGGTAGTGTTATATAATTATAAGTGGTACGTCTCCTTGATTCGAAACAGTATTTATAGCAGGATTACTCTGATGTTTTATGAAACTCTAACAACAAACTTTAATGTGTGGTTGGAATATAAAGCCCTAAAAGATTTTTGGGCAGAAATGTATAATAAATATAACCAATCAATCACGTGTGATGGAAAATGTGACATAAATTATAGTATTACTGCCAAATTTTGTTTCATCTAAATCAAAGAAACATCACTTTTCCTAGACAGTCATGTCTTCGGCTAGATAGAACATTGGCATGTGGCTATTTTGTTCAACCACCCTGTGTTCTCACTGTTTTTGTAGGCAGGAGGAAAGCATTATCATCCCACTTGTGCCAGATGTGTACGATGTCACCAAATGTTCACAGAAGGGGAAGAAATGTACCTCACAGGTAGGAGCACCTATTGGAGGCAAAAGATCTCATTAAGAATTAAAAAATCTCCTCTAATCCATAGGGGGCAAATTTAATACTTGTCCTTGCAACTTAAACATGATATGAACATATTTTAAGAGCCATGCTGGGCCTCTCTGAAGAACATTCAGTCTTTCATTATAATAGATTCAGATTTTATTAGAGAATAATTGATTAACCTTCTCTAAAAATTACATGAAACTGGAATTCGTATTATCAATCCCATTTCATGCTGAAATTTTCAAACAAGGCATTTGAATGAACTTAAAACAATATTTTGATTTTCTGATTGCAACAGGCTTAGTGTATTCACATGTTTATGAAATATCTAGTTGCAATGAGAAATGAGATGACTAGATCTTAATATAAGGTTAGGATGTTCTCCTCCCTGTACATCTATTTTCAGCAAGGAGAGAGTCTCGTAGACAGTCGTTTGGTGTTTGACATTGTGAGTCACTAATTACCCTTTGTATATCAACATTAATTGTTGGGCTGAATTTTTTCCCCCACCCTCACACTCCAAGAACTGTTGGCTTAGTTGCTGGCAGTTTTCTGCGTGGGATGGCAATTAACAATTGGCTTGTTTTAGAGGAGTGGAGGCATCATTAATGCCTCTTTGGCTGATCAATTAGTAGGAAGCCTGCCACAGTGATGAGCATGAAAGAACTGCAAATTTTTCAAAGTGTTGCACCTGTCCCAATACTACTTATGAGAAGGTCCTGTTGCATGATCTTAAAGAGCATCTAAAATTGAGGATACTGTGAGAAGATGGGAAATGGTGGCAGTGATTGCTGGAGAAGCTAGTTATTCTTCCTGTATGAAACTGGGCTGATTCCAAGGATAAACAAAAAAAATTGCTCACAAAAGTATCTCCCCATTTTGCTCCCTAGCCATCTAAGTGGAACTTTACAATAAATGTCAGGTATGGTAATGTTATATTGCTGTAATTTGACTCAGTTAAATTTAGAAACCTCCATGTTCAGAGAAGCCACATTCATTCACTCTGCTACCCTAGCCAAGAAGAGCAAGAACAACCTTGAATCATACTGTATGGATGCATTTCTGCCTAAAATGAATAAAGAAGCAACAGGAAGGAACCAATATGGAGGATCTCTAAGAGAATCATTAGGACTACTTGACAACTGGTTCTAATGTTTTCATTTCTGTTGGATTAGTACAGGGGTCTTCAAACTTGGCCCTTTTGTGATTTGTGGACTTCAGCTCCCAGAATTTCTCAGCCAGTGTGCATCATTTCTGGGCTTTTTTACATAGTCACTGATGTTACTTCCCAAGCTAGTATTCGTCACCTTCAAAATGCTCACTAGCTCCCATGAGCTGACCAGTATTCCCTCCACTGGCCAGTGATAGAGGACAGAAATAAGTTATTGTAGAATTCCTTCCACCTTCCTCCGATGTTCCTTGTTGCCTCCTCATGTTTGCCTTCCCAAACCACAATCTGGTCTTTCAGAAACACAGTAAAAGGGTGCAAAGGTGGCTTGATTTCAGCAGGGAGAAAGAGAGCCAGGAAATAGGATGAGATAAAAGTTTAAAAAGTTGCTACCTTTGGAAAACCACCTCCTGGACAACTTCAGGCTTAACACTTTTCTCCCAGTGGAGTCTCCTGCATCACAAGCTGAATCAGATGTTATTTATCTTCTCAGTGGAAGACCAGTGGCATTAGGAGAACATAACATATGTGACCCTGATTATTGGTTGGACATAAGCCATATGTGGAGGAACCTTCTGTTACATTCAAGGAGTAGGCAGACTGTCCAACAAAATTATTTTCATCTCTTGCAGTTCAAAACACATTTTTCAGGCTGCACAAATGGGAGCTGGCTTTTGTTCTTTTTTTTTTTTTTTTTTTGTCCTGTCTCAAGCAACTCGTTTTAACTTAGAGTCTCTGAAAAATTATCCAGGAGGATGGAAAAGAAGCATATCTAATTTAAACTGTATAGAGATCTTTGTACCCATAACAAAAGAAAAAAGGAGAATGCTTGTGATCCTACAATGACCTCTATATTATCAGGAAACTAATTTTGAATTTTAATACATTTAACAATATTCCTGGGAAGATGATCTGGCCACGGTCTTGAAATATGTGATGTGATAATAACAGTATTCTCATATTTCTTTCTAGAATCCTTTAAATGTAGATGATAGTACAAGTCATTAAAGCCCATAAATCAAGAATAGGGAAACACCATCCCTAAGTCTGAAAGCATTCTCTCTCTTATGTAGCTCAGAAATGCGAGAGGAGGCTAGATTGATTGAGGACTATTATTCATTGCATATATACATCAAAAACACAACATGCATAAGCAGAAGAAAAATATATGAATGTGCAACATATGCAAATAAATATTCTGCCGGCAAAATCAAATACTGTATTTTTTTAACATGGTATTGTCTAGTCTTAAAGCTAGCTCTAACATAAATCATTATTACTAGACTGCACTAAAGGTATTTTTCTTTTGCTTATTCATATTAGGTCCTTGATTCCTTCTTCTATCTCTTAAGATACCTGATACTTTTCTATTGTTCTAGCTTTTCATTCCTGTTTCCAACAGACAGTGTTGCCAGTTTCAGTAACATCCAGGAGTAAAGACTTGATTCAAAGTTTATCTAAACAATTAGTACTTGGATGTATTTATATTACAGCCTTACAACTTTTTTCAGTCAGCCAGACCTATAAAGATGTGATAAGCCCTGTGCTAAAAGGGAGAGACAAGCAATAAAATTAAGTTCCAATAGAAGAGAACATAGCTTGTCTGGCTACTGTGGTTGGATAAGAAAACATCTTTAAGCAAACAATCAAGCTCAGAGACCACCATGAACTCCATAATCAAATTAAGCGGCACACCTCCAACAAAGAGGGTATTTTGTATGAGGTCATTAATTCATATTCTCCTCTAAATGGCCATCCCTGATTATTTTACACAACAATAAGGGAATAGTAGCTGTGAACAGTATCAAAAATTCAATGTTTTGTTCATTTCCACCAATTACTGAGACCTAAAACTCTCAAAGCATTTGACAGCATTTATTTGTTTGCTTAATGCTACAAGGGCAATGAATGCTCCTAGTTTCTCCACATTCCCCACAGAATGTCAACTAGCATAATGCTGAGATACCGGCCTGAATTTTTCTTTTGCATTATAAACAGAGAGATTATGCCTTAGTAGCTTTCCCATTTTACCAATAGTCCTGATTTTTACACATTAGCATGGCTGAAAACTATTTTATGCTCCCCTATCGGTCAACTGGAAGGAATAGCAACAGGGGTTATTTTCATTTTGAACTAGGATATGTTGAGGACATTCTAATTTGAAAATGTTTTTAAGAGTCTGGGGATTGAAAATGAGGACAGTGGTCAAAGTATGCAAATTTCCCTAATGCCTGTTTGCAATTCAAAATTGTCCAATCCAACTAAATCTTTGGAACGAAAATACCCATGGCATTATCAGCTGACAAAAAGCAATGGATTTTCTTGCAATAAAAGGAGCAGCCACTTGCTTATAAAAGAAATATTAAAAGGTTTCGATGGTATTTTTTTTTCTTTATGAAACTTAGGTAATGTTGGGTAAAGTAGACATGCAGATGGGCAGCTTGTAGTTCTGACACATAGTCCTCCTTCGCAGGTTCAGAAGTGTGGCATCCAATCTGCAAACAAGCAGCGAGAGCAGAAAAGAAGCTAAAGGTAAAATAAAGTTGGGGAACAGCAGGCAGCCAAATTTTATTCGTGGCGGCTGGTATTAGCTAAAATGGGTACTGCAAGTTAACCAAATAATTTGTTTAGATAACTTTGAATAGAAATAGGTTTGAATTTGAGGATCTGAACTGTTCAGCCTGCAGGGAGGTATGTGCATGATGAATAAGATGAAAGTGATATCTTTAAGTTATAGTCAAGGGGTCTGAACCATAACTACGTTCTTGATGCCTGTTCCTGAAATCTATATATTCTGTACTGTGGCTGTGTTTCCCAGATAATGTTGTAAACTGGCAAATACGAACCAATGTTCTCAAACCTCAGCATTTGACACCAGATGCTTGGTATACTGTATGTTCATTGTCTACTTGGGATGCATAGCTTCAAATCAAAGTGTAACCCCAGTGTAGCTAGGGTAATCTCATTTCCTGTCCAAGCTGCAAATTACTTTTCTATATAACATTGTACAGCTGCCATCTTTCTATCCAGGCCCATAAAGTAGATCTGTGTATAGCCAATCTAGTCAGTTATCGGGGAGAACTGGAGACAATTGCCTGGAAGACTCAGGACACCACTATACATTACAGAAGATGCATAGCTGTTTCAGTTTCATACACAAACACCTCATTCTGTACAGGTAGTCCTCGACTTGCAACAGTTCATTTAGTGACCGTACAACGGCACTGAAAAATGTGACTTTTGACCGTTTTTCATAGTTACAATCTTTACAGCATCCCCACGATCATGTAATCAAAATTCAGATGCTTGGCAACTGGTTCATATTTATGACCTTTGCTGTGTCCCAGAGTCATGTGATTCCCTTTTGCAACCTTCTGGCAAGCAAAGTCAATGGGGAAGCCAGATTCATTTAACAACCAGGTTACTAACTTATCAGCTGCAGCGATTCACTTAACAACTGTGGCAAGAAAAATCGTAAAATGGGGCAAAACTCACTTAACAAATGTCTCACTTAACAACAGAAAATTTGGGCTCCGTTGAGGTCGTATGTCGAGGACTACCTGTACTGTACCTCCTCAATAGTGTCTAGGAAAGAAAGCAAGTGACATTTCTTCATTATACTGAGTGATTGCCAACGTCATGCAATGAACTGGAGAGGACAGGTGCCAAATGGTTGGTTTTTACCAAATGTTACTGGAAAGTAACATACTGCAAAAGGAAAGTTGATGAAAGGCTCATTTACACTATAATTTCTTGTTAGGCCCTCCAGCATACTAGCTTTAATTGAAAGTAATTGAGGGAGATGTAAGGTGTAGTAACTGATAGCATTGGCTGGAACATTTAATTTTGAAATAGAGTGTTCATAATATGCATGGAATGAGAAAGTGAGCTAGCAGCCTAGAGTGGCAAGTAGCAAAGTGCAGCCAAATATATAGGGATTAAGACTTTTTGAACAGAAGGAACAGATGCAGGTATGTGATTTTTCTGCCATTACTATATTGGCAACTCTGGTCAGCATGGCTTGAAATTTTTCTTCAATACTACGTGTAAGCAAAGTCTAGGAAATTTTAACAAGTAACTTATCGGTTTTTGTATATACAGCACAGAAGAACTTCAGAGACATCCATATCCCCTCCTGGCTCCAGCATTGGTTCCCCCAACCGGGTCATTTGTGTAAGTATACACAACATGGGGCAGAAGCAACATGGAAAGCCAAGAATTGAAGTTGGCAGCTCCCATGGGAGTTATTTGGAAGTGCATGCCCTGTGAATCCTAGATGAGATGAGAAGAAGAGATCAACTGATAAAATAAAATATCTATTGAGGACTGCTCCCCTTCAGATTTGGAACAGATTTCCAAGCCAAATATGTGCCAAGGAAAGCATCTGGCAAGTTCAGCCTGAGTTGTCTGTTCCCATCCCTGAATATCTGTCTGCTTAATGCCACACTGTGCCTTTGAGCATCATCTGATTTACAGAGGAATTCAGATGCATGTAGTCAAAGCAAAGCCTGGCACCACTTTCAATCCTGAACCAACTGCTCCTTCCCACTGTTGCTTCATCTACACAGGGATAGCCCTGGCATTCCCTTCAAAATTCCTTCCTTTCTTCTTTTCACCTTCATCGTAAGTATCTGTCCCTGTTTGCTCTGAAGCTTCCTTCAACCTTGCATTGTGATGTGTTCTTTCTCCTCTGAGTTTCAAGTGCCTGTTCCTTTTTTCTTTCTGTGGTTGTCTATGATATCTTTCCCTTTCCATAGGCTAAAGTGGATAATGAAATCCTTAATTACAAAGATTTGGCTGCTCTTCCCAAGATTAAAGCCATCTACGAGGTGCAACGCCCTGACCTCATTTCTTATGAGCCCTATCACAGATACACTTCGGATGAAACACTGGAGAGATATAGCTATGGGGAGGTACAGTTTCTAAGCCATTTCACCTGGATTGTACACAATGCATGAAGTCTCTGTTGGAGGCAGAGACTTGTCTATATCCTCTGGCTGTAAAACCCATTAATTTCAGTGAGAATGCTTGAGATTAACAATAGCCATCTCTCATTCCAAAATGGTATCCAGGTAAGACTGATCTGAAAGCATAGGTTCAACTATTTGCCGGGAAAACACAAAAGCACTTTCCGAGTATAGATTGGAAAGTGGATTGAAGACAAACATTACACTATTGTTTATTTAATCATAGATGGTTGCTAAACCTTAACTATATACAATGCCTGAATAGACAGAACATATGGAACCGAACCAAAAAAAAAAAAAAAGCCACATGAGGAGTTTGCATATAGAATAACATATGGCCAAGAATGAATCTAATAAGAATTTGCTTGTGGTGAATAGAACTAAGTACAAAGATTATGCCTCGGCTTCAAATGCAACTGGACAGGTCTTATGTCCTTGTTGAGCTGAGAAGGATGGATGTCTCAGTGGTGCAATGGAAAATGAGGCAGGTCTGCTAGTGTGAGTCTGTACTTTATGGGGCTAGAGATCAGATTCTGACCAATCTGGAAATGTTACCGTGTTATCTGCAGTATGTTTGTAAAAGGTTTTGCTTTTGCTTTAGGTTACTGGTGGGGTATATATCTAGGCTGAGCCAGTCCAGTGTCAGCCTTCTGGCTTCTGCTGAAAAAAAGAATGGATAATTAAACAGAATTGTTTCTGACAGAAGCATACCGGACCTTTGGCAGAAGACAGCACAAGGCAGGAGAGCTACAAAGCAACAGGATTTTTAGTAATTGGCGACCACCCCTTATCAGAAATATTTTATAGCAATAAATGACTGAAGCAACAAAATTAATACAGCTCCTTATTAACCATCGCATCAAATCACAAATTTGTTAAGCTTCTTATCCCAGTTTCTCACAGATGATATCCATTGATCCAGCTGCACTCATACATCTCACTGGGGACTGGGAGCATGACAGAAAGAATCAATGAGTTTTGCCTTGCCCTATATTCCATGTTTCCCTGGCAAATGAAGGCATGAGCTTCATCCCCCCAACAACTTTTGGAATTATAAAGAAGTGCTATTAGTAAGGCACAAGACTTTTTTTTAACATCTTCAAGGAAAACAGGATATATTTAAATCAAGCAAAATGGAATATAAACACTTATATGGTTATGTTTTTAACTTATTGTATATTTTTGTATAAAAAGTCCCATGGGGCTATCCCTGAAGAGTATACAGAAGCTACAGATTGTGCAGAATGCAGCCATGCAAGTGGTTCTAGGGAGCTCTAGAGCAGTGGTTCTCAACCTTTTTAATGCCGCGACCCCCAACTGGTTGTAAGTCGAGGACTACTCAATCGGTCATAAGTCGAGGACTACTCAACTGGTGCAGCACCATTTGCAGAATGGGACTTTTGGCAGGCTCAGCAGGGCAGAGACAGCCTGGACAATTCCTGTTGGCTTTTGAAAGCCCATAGAATTAGACTCTATTCAAGAGAGTCTATTCTATGGGCTTTCAAAAGCCAATAGAATAAAAGGGAGTAGCACAGCTAAGGAAAAGGGGGAAAAAAATGGCGGACTGCGTTGTTTGGCGACCCCCATGAAATGGTCGTTCGACCCCAAATGGGGTCCCGACCCACAGGCTGAGAACCACTGCTCTAGAGTGACCTATGAAACACCATTGTTGCACAAGTTGCACTGGTTGCTGATCTATTTCCAGGTCCAATTGAAGGTATTGGTTATGACCTTTAAAGCCCTTTGTGAGGAACCATATCACCTCAGTAGTATTGGCCTGCCCCACTCATTCTGGCAGAAGGAACATGCTGTGGATCCTATTGGTCAAGGAATTCTACCCAGCGAGGTCCAGGAGAAGGGTCTTTTCTGCTGTGGCTCCCTCCATTTGGAAAAACCATGCCCCTTCAGAAGAGGTCCACTCTCACCCTCTTGGCCTTCTGTAAGAGTCTCAAAACCTGGCTCTGTTGACTGGGCCCAGTGAGGACATTCCATATTGGAGGAATGTTGGTTAGTGGACTAAAAAGAAGATCCCACCTCCGCCCACTAGTATTTTTTTTTAACTTATTTCATCTCTGTTCCTTTTAATATTTCATCTTTTAATGTCTTGTACTTTAGTTTTTACGATGTTCATAAGCCACCCAGAATCTCTTGACAGTGAGATGGGTGGCATATAAATTAAATAAATAAATATAAATAAATAAATCAAATATTTTATTATATACAAACTTTACATCTTTATGCAGTATGCTTATACATAATAAGTGTGATCAAATTTTCAATCCATTGAATAAATGAGGCCATACATTTATCTTTCCAATGTTGCAATATGAGTCTTTTAGCCACAGTAAGGGCACCAAGTATCCATTATGTTATCTAGCTGTCAAATGCCATGAACTAGGAATAAATTAAACTTGACAGGCATTGTAACAATACTAATCCCAACACACCTCAATGCTACTTTTTCAGTAGTCATTCAAGTATCTAGTTTTCCCAAAGGCTCTTTAGAACGGAGGTCTCCAATCTTTTGGGCACCAGGGACCGATTCCGTGGAGAAAGGTTCTTCCACGGACCGGATCGGGCGTGGTTTTGTGTGCTGCCTGCATCCCACGGATGGGGCTTTGCTTGTTTGTGCGGACCGGTTGTTGGCATGCTGCGGCCCTTGTCTCTAGGAGTTGGCTCTTCCAGAGGAGGTGGGCTAACACATAGGACTCATTCTCAGAGTTGCTGAAATCAGTGGGATGGGATCCTGAGCAAGCCTTTTCTACCTTAATGGATGGGTACATTCCAGCAGAAAAGGCAAATGCATGTCCTGAACCATAAAGGACCATATGTCTAACAACTTCAATTCCACCCAGCACCCTGCCAGGAACTAGCATAGCTCGCAAAGTAATGGTGTAACATGGGTGAACCACAGCACACACATTGATACTCAACCCACTGCATTCTGAACCAACTGTAGCTTCTTAAGAACAGTCTGATATATAGCAAGTTCTCCAAACATGAAAAAAGCATAGGTGATTGTTGTCAAAGCCTCCCAAGTTAGAAATGACAGTAAGTGATGCACAAGATAGTGCTGTACAACAGTCTCCTAGTCATGGCCTCTACTTGCTCTTCATACAAAATTGTAGGTCCTAAAGAACCCAAACTATAAATGACCTCTGCCTAAGGGAATATGAAGTCCAGTGCCAATGACAGAATTCTATTAAATCCCTCAATTTCTAAACCTACAGTCATATTCTTTTGTTGGGATTGAGTCTAAATCCATTTTTTTCCATTCAGTCCCTAATAGCCTCCAGGCACTGGGAAGGATCTTAACAACATCTCCTGTTCAGCCCGAGGTAGAAGTGTAAAACTCAGTATCATCCATATAGTGGATAATCTCTACCGGTGGCCTAATAAGAGGATCAAATTATAAGACACCCCATAATGCAGGGGTCAACTTCATCAAGGGCTGCCTCAACAACTAAGTTACTGTCAAACATTCTCTACCCTTCTATTCCCACCTTCCTGTTCTTGGATAAAGGACAGGAGGATTGAGATGGTGGATAGTTGTAGTGGATGAGTAAGTACTCATGAGCAGGTTTCTTGAGTAGGGGTTGCATCAGAACCTCTTTCACACCTATATGCCATGCCTATCTAGAGATTTAGCTATCTATTCTATCCTTCTGCCTCTTCTCTGGAGGATTTCAGCCACCTGGAGCAGCAGGGATCTAATTCACAAGTGGCAGAGCTGATATCACAGAAGATTCTGTCTACTTCATTAGGCTCCATGGAGAAATGTTGATCTTTTGCCACTCATCATACCATGGTGTAGGCTTGAACCTGAGCACTTAATCTGTGTTCAGTTCTAGTGACTTCTTTGCCAGCACTACTTCAGCTGCCTTTTCTGCCACTTCAGCAATTAAGGAGCTTCTTCAGAATGCTTCTTATTTGCACAGCAATGCAAATAGACCTCACTTATTGATTGCCTCATTTGGCCATCTTTTGAAGTTGTGATGGCATTTATGACTGTCACAATATGCTGTGATCAGACAATTGCCATTTGTGTGCTTTGCATCTGGCTTCCAACAAGCAGAAACAATGGGGAGGCCGGCAGTAAAATCACATGTGGCAGTCACATGATTTCTCACTTAACAAGCTGTGGTGACTCACTTAAATGACTCCAGTAGAAATGAAGTCAAAAGTCTGCCGCAATTACATGATATCTTGCTTAATGAATGTATCACTTAGTAACAAAATTGTAGTCACTAAAGCAAGGACTACCTATGCTCTGGATCAGGGGTGTCAAACTGCCAGCCCGCAGGCCAGATGCATCATGCTGAAACCGCGCCCACCCTATTGCCGGGAATGGAAAAAAAATTGTGATATGTCACAAGACATCATGTGACATTGCGAGTTTAACACCCCTGCTCTGGACTATGCTTGTCCTTAAATGAACCAGTTTGGTGCAATTAGACCTTCAAGAATGGTCTAAGAATTTTTTTAAAATAAAAAGTGATGCCATTTAATATTTTGCCTTTTGCTTTTTGTTGTATTTGAACATTAGTCCTGGAGGGGGGCAAATTTACCTCCCTCAGTGCAGGCACGCAACTTGGGTGTCCTCCTGGACTCACAGCTAAATTTGGAACAACATCTATCGGCTGCGGCCAGGGAGACCTTTGCCCAGGTTCGCCTGGTGCACCAGTTGCGGCCTTATCTGGACCGAGAGGCTTTACTCACAGTCACTCATGCCCTCGTCACCTCAAGACTGGATTACTGTAATGCACTCTACATGGGGCTACCCTTGAAGAGCGTTCGGAGGCTGCAGTTGGTTCAGAATGCAGCCGCAAGAGCGATTGTGGGCTCGCCAAGGTACGCCCACATGTCACCTATCCTCCGCGAGCTGCACTGGCTTCCTTTGGGTCTCCGGACACAATTCAAGGTGTTGGTTATCACCTTTAAAGCCCTTCATGGCATAGGGCCAGGTTACTTACAGGACCGCATACTGCCGCACAGTTCCCAGAGACCGGTGAGGTCCCATAGATTGGGCCTCCTTCAGGTCCCGTCGGCCAGACAATGTCGGCTGACGGGACCTCGGGGAAGGGCCTTTTCTGTGGTGGCTCTGACCTGGTGGAATCAACTTCCCCCCGAGGTTCGAACAACTCCCACCCTGCCGGCCTTTAAGAAAGCCGTTAAAACTCTCCTGTTCCGGCAGGCCTGGGCTGATGTCCCCGAGGGGGGGTGGGACATGATCGGACTTGCGGTATGATTGAATTATTTTATTGTCTTATTCTCGATGATTGTTTTAATTTTGTACGCCACCCTGAGTCCTTTGCGATTGGGCAGCATATAAATAAATTAAATAAAATAAATAAATAAATAAAATAAACTAGTCCTACTTTTCCAAAGCAAATTTGTGCTAAAGACACTTTTTAATAATTTAAAAGACACTTTTTAATAATTTAAGGAGGAGCATCTTAAATAAACTTGTAGGCATGTTTCTATGTTAATTTCAAAAATATGATTAAGAGGGAACCATGCAAATATTTAATTGCTACATGTTTGTCATACCCTTCCAAGAAGATGTGAGTCTTATACAAGAAAATTGTGGTCCTCCACTGTTTTCTTACATTCACGCATCAGCCCTTGTCATGTCTTCCACATATAATTGCTCTAAGACAGTAGTGGTGAATCTATGGCACGGGTGCCAGAGGCGGCACTCAGAGCCCTCTCTGTGGACACGCGCGTCGTCGACCCAGTCCTAGGCCTTCAGCTGGGTTTTATAAAACCTTTTCGTTTTAGGCCTCCGCTACTTTGCAAAGTTCTTGCAAAGTTGGAATTGATTGATTGAACTTTTTAGTCCCACCCAGTCTGCCATTACCTACTGCACCCATGCCCACCCAATTGGCCACACCCAGCCAATGGGCTACACCCACCCGGCACTCGACGATGTATAAGTGGGTTTTGGGTTGCAGTTTGGGCACTCAGTCTCTAAAAGGTTCGCCATCACTGTTCTAAGAGAATCCCTTTAAGGTTCATTTCTTATTTTATGTGCTGCCTAAAAACTGAGTATATTATCTTAAGTGCATTACTTTCAGAGCTAGGTTTGTTCAAACACAACGATTTGGTTCTCAGTTACTTAAAGAAACCATTGTAAAATGGAGAGCACATGAGAAAAGGGCTCAATTAGCAGCTAATTAATCTGGGTTAATCCAAGCAGGTACATATGTCTCTTTGAGGTGACAAGAATATAATTGAAGGGAAATGAAATCCTGAGCTGTCTTGCTGCTTTTCTCACAATTCTAGGGAAAGTTATGGGATTGGTCTTCTCTTTCTTTGGTGTTTCAGAATCTTTTTCTCCTAAATTTTCTCAATGCCTTGGCAGTTCTGAGAAGGTTGTAGTTTAGTAAAGTGAATTTGGGGGAACTGGCTTGTGATACACAAACATTAGATCAGCTTGTAATCAATTGCTCTCTATCTCTTTTTTCCCTGCTCTTTATTCCCTGGCGATTTGTCTCTGACCTTCTGTCACTTGTAGTCTCTTGGAACCTTGTCTCCATATTCTCAGGTAATCACACAGCACGTAAGACTAATTGCAGGCTCACATCTCTAGGGTTCATGCAATGAGAGCTGAAAGAGAATTTGAGGAGAGCCGGGTTAGCAAAAACCTCCTGTAAAAAGTCTCCCCCTCTCCCCCCCCCCATGCTATTAAATGAAATATGCTTTGGGCAAAGCATATTATCTTTGTGGTGTCATATATTTGTGCACATTGGGAAAAGATGCCTTCAGTTGGGAAAGGAATATAATATTCAGAGGGCCAGGATGCATGCTAACGTACGTACACCTTGACCCTCCTGGGACTGGCTCTTTTATGAACAAGGTTTTGCATTTTTTGCAGGATATTTATGACAGCATGGACATCAGGCAGAGGCGAGCATCCAGCCCAGGCTACATAGACTCACCCACCTACAGTCGCCAAGGCATATCTCCCACCATCCCACGTTCTCCACATCATTATTACCGCTCAGGTAGGGCATGGCTGTCTCCATCAGGATTCAAATAAAGACATCTGCCCAGCGGAACTCAGCTTTAACACATCCTTAGAAGGACAGACCAACTTCTCTCCAAGGGCCATACATGCTGCCAAAGCATTTTGTATATCCAGAATGGCCTCAACGTGAAATCAGAGAGACAAGGAGGGTTCCATTGGTACAGTGTCCCCCATTGCATAGGTTCTTTCCTTAACAGAATGGTAGGCAAAGTGTCTAGCTCTGTTTTTTACTGTCTTCAGGATACCAAAGAGTTGTGATGAACTTCACTCCATTGTCATGCTCCATTTTCATTTTTCTAAGCAAATTCAGAGTGGCAATTCTGTGGCAGAGTAGAAATGGAAAGAAGCAGATGATACAGGAAGCAACTATAGATGTGCAAAATATTTGTCCTGAATTCATGATGGGTTTTTCTAACCCCTCCAGGAGTGTTCTGAACTAGGAACATCCCTTTTGCCAGCTCAGAAATTTGTTTCAAATTCAAAACCCTGTTATTTTGAATTTGAAATACTTTTGGAATGATTGGAACAACCCAGGCTTCTTGTTATGTGTTGAAAGAATCAGCACTGTCATCACCATCACCTCCCTCCACCCATGTACTCTCACCATAAATTCACAGATGGCTTGCTAATTTTCTAAAATACTGTTTTTAACATCAATTTTCCTCTGCCTCTCTCTTTTCTTCTCTGCTGCTCCCTCCAATCTGCTCTTTCAAGGGACAGAGAGTGGACGCAGCTCCCCCTACTATAGCCAGTTAGATGTGAGGTCTTCTACACCAACCTCATACCAAGCTCCTAAGCATTTCCACATTCCAGGTAGGCTCTGGAGGCCTCTGGTCAGCCAGTGAAGGAGTGCTGTATGGGACCTTTTTTTTTTTTTTTTAGCCTGCATGCTTGTGCCAAGTGTGTTATTTGCATGAGTAGTGCTGTTGCCAGCCTAAGGTAAGCTGGCCGCAGCAAGCTACAACTGCATGGTAGAGGCCATCCATAAACAAGACCTGCAGCCTTCTCTCCTTCTCTAAAATCTCCCATTCCCCTGCCCCCGCAGCTTGTTTCCCTGTACAAAGGAAAGACTCTCCTCTTCCTCTCCTTCTCTTCTCGTACCTCAAGGGCCAGAGGGTAAAGCTTGTCTGTCAGCTTTTTCTACACCCCACATCTTTGACACATAATTTATCTTATACTCCTGCTCCCCTCAGGGCCCGCTGCACCTTTCCCCCAGATTCTCTGGATTTGCCAGGTGGCTGTTCCCCTCCAGCAGAGACCCAGGTAAGGGCCACTGCCCCACCCCTCCTGCAGAGGGGGAGGGAGAAAGTCAACCTCTGTCCCTTGTCAGGCTGCAAGTAGAGACCTGAATTCCTTCCCCACTTGCCCGCCTGCACAATCTGCAACCAGCTTTGCTCACAAGGTAAATTGAGCCTCATTTGTTTGGTCAAAACATGTAAGGACCATTCCTGTGCCAAAGCTGGCAGCTGTGGGAGCCTTCCTTCCTTCACTCTAGAACAGAAGTCCTCAGACTCTTCAGTTCATCAAACCCTTCATGAAGTTATAGATTGTTCGTCAATCCTCAAACTTTATATGAACATAATTTAATAAATACTAATTTAACTAATAGTACTGTGAATAAAAACAATAGCAATAAAACAACAGTAATTGACCACTCTGGAGAACCCTGACCTAGAATTAGGGCAAGTTAGGATTGAGATTTATTCCTTTGGAAACATCTTCCTACCAGAATGGAATCACAGTCTATTTTCTAGGTTTCGCTCTTGGTATGTTCTGATAATTTTGGGCCAACAACAAAGCCAAGAAGGTGGCTTCATTCTGGCAGTTTAAAGTTTGATCTAGACACAGAAGAAGAAGAAGCTCTTTGTTTTCCATGCAGCCTGAAATATGTGGATCTCATTGGCTTCCATTAAGGTCACACATGATAGAGTCAGTCAGCTGATAAAGTTCAGCATTGGGATTTGATTATTTTTCATTCATCTCCTAAGTTATCAAACTCCAGATAGATTTTGGTCCTTGTAGAAATGCTTGAAATGTACAGTTTGGGGTTAAGTATTTACACATGTTTGTTACAATCTCCTGACCTTAGTGTATTCTGCAAGGCATCTCCAGAGAGACATAGAGCAGGAAAGTGAAACTGACCTGAATTAAGCACGATCAGCTGATGTAACTGGCCTGAATTGCCTTGATTTGCCTTCTAGAATTTTCCTTGCCCTAGTATGCCCCTTTCATCACTAGCCCTATTGAAAAGGTCATTGTGATGGCTACTGCTCCTGTAGCTTTTGCTTGTGTCTTTTATGGATGGCCCCTTTGCCTACACACCAGATTACACCATCAGTAAGCGTCTGTGCTGATAGAGTAGCTCCTATTCCCAGCTTGCTTTGCTTCTCTCTTATTTGAAGAGAATATGGCTGACTCGTGAACAAGGATGGGATTTTTGTCCCGGTATCTCTAGGTAACCAACTCATAAATCATCTTGTGCCATTGCCAGCCAAGGAGACAATGGCCGTTAGCACTCACCAAAGGAGGCCTTCCCATCTCGGAGCTGAGGCCAGCTACCAACTCTCTCTGCCTGACCCTGCATGCTGTCAGTAGTGAGCATGCTCACAGCATGACCTCTTGTGCATGCACACATTCACTGTCTTATAGCTGTTGAAATAGCTCACAAAGAGGATTAATTCCTTCTTCCCTCCATTAAACCATCTCCCAGCCTAAGTTCGCTCTGCAGGTATTTAAGATAAGGCTGTTTTATCTTAAGATGGGAAAGTATCAAACGAATTAAGCAGGCAATGGTAATCTTGGGCAGGCAATTTTATTTGCAAATCTGGTGGCTCCTGTGACTAGTATAGGGATCATGCTAACCTTTTCTATATTATATATGTTTTTACTTCTGCTGCCAAAATGATACGGAGAAGATTCCCACCACCCCTCTTCAAGAATGACAGGCAGGTTCCTGTATCTCTAAGCCTCACACCCTGGCTCCCCTCTTTTGCTATCTCCTTCTTTCCTTCATTATTCTTCTTTCTTTACCTCCAGCTGCTGCAGAGAGTAACATCTACCGGAAACCACCCATCTATAAAAGACACGGTACAGTTTGGGCATGGCTTTGACATATATATATATATATATGGGCATGCAACTTAGAATAAACCAAAGTTCTGCTTAGGTCTGGTGGTGTGCATTGGAAATGGCTAAATAAACTATACAAAAGTTGGTGGCAGTACCAGACCTGGACATAGTAGACTTTGAAAAGAATGAGAGTATAATGGCCTTTCAGAATTGTGAGAAGAGGGCTGAGCAGAAAAGTTTGGCTTGCTAGATCCCTTATCTTAGGGTGCCTCCATGTGTTCAGAAAAAGTAAACACTCAACAATGTAACTCAGGCAGGCAAATAGCACATTGCTTTTAAGTGGATAATTCTTATTGTCCATTAACTTTTAAAACATAAGGATATGAGATGAAGCAGGACGATATAGCTTACTAAGATGCCATTAGATGCTGTGGCTGTGCTACTGATGCTCCTTAGTTGGAAACTCTGCAGTGTATGAAAATAGATGCTTTCCATGGAGGGAAGAACAAAAACAAAGGGAACAAAATATTTTGCTGAAAATAGAAGAGCGGGGGAAAGGGGAAAGCAGAACGAGAACTTTGGCAGAAGAGAAGAACCTTTGAACAGCAAAGTGAAAAATCATGAAGAGTTATTTTAGAAAACTACAAAGAAATATTTGTGGTAGGGGGATGACAATCCTATAGGAGTTCAAATCTACACATTAGGAGGTTTATATAGGACCCAATTGGGTACAAGAAACCAAAGAAGTCAGAGTAAGAGAGAAGTGGATGATCTGGGCAGCAGAATGTCAGATAGGTATTGAGAGATCTCACGTTGAGATCGTAGGAATCAGAGTGAAGTCTGCAGTAATCAAGGAAAAAGATGACCAACATATAGAGTTTCAGCCAAGAAGATCAACTAGAAGACTCTCTTTTAACACTGCATGCCAAGTTCAGAAGTGACTTAGTTATATGATGAGCTAAACATAGGAGTACAGAAGAGAAATGAATTTCAATATTTTTAAAAAAGACTCCAGGCTCGCTTAAGGAGGTAGTTGGATATGATGGTTTTCTATATTTAAAAAGGTGATGAGAGAAGGAATGGTAAGTTCACATTTGAACTTGAAAAATATATTGAAGCAAAAATGTCACAAAGTGAATATATGGACCTCACTATACTTTTCTGTGGCATAATCTTAAGGTATTAATATGTATAAAGTATAAGCCATATAAATCTATTACAAAACTTTAAAAATTGCTGGAACATCATCAGATAGATACATGGAAAAGTGTCCCAATTCTATAAAACTCTTGCTGCTGGACTGGTTGAGAATAGGCCCAAAACATTCATAGGAACCCCAGCTCATTTACCTCTAATTTGTACTTACCTACCCTCTCAGCTAAGCAGAAAAAGCTTGTCTATTTATAGGTCCTTAGGAAAAGTAGCATAATTCTAACAACCATTGATTTAGAAGACTGTATATGTTTAAAGAGTAAAGCTTAACCAAAATATACAGCAAAGGATATCAATATTAAAGAGCTGTATCATGATTACTTGGCTGCTTTTGAAGACCAATGAACACCACCAGAATATTCACCCTACTTCTCGGCCTTTTACTATTTGTAAAAACAGGCCAGAAACATAGTCTGACTCCAGTTTAGGATGCAGGTACAGATCTTGCAAAAGGAGCAAGGCCGGACTTGCTTCAAAGCCAGGGGTCCCGTGCTCTTGTATGGCAGGAAAAGTTACAGAAATCAATTCTCTTCATCACCTTTGGAGGCAGAGCTCTGAGGTGATGGAAGGTGGAGCTCTGAAGAGGAAAGACTGTTCCTCTGAGCTTCTCAACAGTCTGCTTTTGTTTTAGAAGTCTTGTGACGTTTCCTTTAATGTGGTAACCAGGTGTCTCCTCCTCTCTTTTTTCCCCCCTTTCCTAATGTGCTATCTTCATAACTCCCTGCCTGCTGGCTGACTGCACCCCACTGCATTGTAAGTAGCTGCCTTTGGCTCTCACCTTTGAAGCAGCAAGTTTCTGAGAACCTTCTGACTTCCTGCAGCAAGACTTGGAGTTTGTGTACTTCACAGCTCTTAGTTGCTCATTAAATGAACTCTTGGCAGTTTACAGATAGGTTTTTTTTTTTCCTTTTGGATTCTGGTTTTTTTTTTACTCAAAATCACACAATGAAGATGACTTACTTGTAAATTATATGCATGCAATCTGGAGTTTTGCCCATAATACTTGAGAAACCCATTATAGTTGGTTATCTAGTAATTCAATTTACATATTCATTTTAGAGCATCACAGTAGGAATAAATTGCATTTATCTGAAATAAAAACAACATGGATTAATTGAAACATTAAAAAAGGAATAGAATTTTGTACATACACATGAAGTCTATTGCCACAGCCACATCCAACTGGGAGCATCATCCAGATATAGAGACTTAAAGCTGCTTATATAAAAGAATCCAGTTTAGCAATGCTGATGCATGTTTCTCATAATGTATAGCATGGCCCCCAAATCATCTCTAGCTTTCTCTCAAAGTATTATTATCCCCTTCCAACCTTACAGCCCAAACAGATCAGGCATAAATGGGTGAATGTTTTTAATTGTGTGTGGAGGTGTTTGTAGGAAAGGGAAGAAATCTTTGTTCAATTTTTCTTACTTGCTGTGGATTTTTGAGATGAAAACCTGGAATGGATGCTTTCAACCCATGTTGTGTAGCAACTAACTAAAGGCTAAATAAGGTGGCTCATTATGTAATGCACTTCTTCACTCAAACCCTTTTGCTAAATCACATACCAATTTTTTTTCCTATCCTTATTCTCTGAGGGTCATCTTGGACTAGATGCTATTCAAGCAATCAGAAATTTAAAAAAATAATTACCTTTCAGGAGTGGTAGATCAGAATTAGGATCCTAGCTAAGAGTAGGGGACTTTAATGATTTATACAAACATAGTTCCAAGCTAGGTTTCTGTTTGCTTCTTTCAAATTTTCTCCCCATGAAAACATCAAATCTAAGGAACCCAATCTCAAGCCACCATCTAAATTCCAATATAGATAAATTCCTTGTTTATGCTGTTCAGTTTTCAAAAACAACACAACTGATAGTTATTTAAGTAGTATCTAATGACTTTGACACTAAGATTAATGTTTCCTTCCTCCCTCCTCAACTTGTTCCCCATCAATTTGGCTTTAAAGACATGGGTCGTTGCTGTAGGCAGTGAGCACTGAGTGTAGCTGCAACATCTTCATGGGTATGATTATATGCATATTGGCGTTCATGTGAACTAATATACTTTTCCTACTTCAGACATTTGCACTGAATGCAAAAATGTCTGCAATAGCTAGCATCTTTTGAATGATACCAGCGATGAGGTGGAAGCTCACCTAGGCTGTGTGCTTTGGCTTGCAAATGCTCAAGTGGAATTCTACTCTGTGAACCCTGGACTATAGATTGATAAGTGGCATGTCAGCTCTACTACATAATGCTTCTTGCTACCTCAGCTCTGCTAGCAGTTAAGAGTGCCCCACTTGCCTAGTCCCTTTCTTGTTTTCCTCCTCCTCCTCCTCCTCCTCCTTCTCCTCCTCCTCCTTCTCCTCCTCCTCCTCCTCCTCCTCCTCCTCCTCGTCCCTTTCTGCTACCTACTGAGTCTAAACCCTACTTTTTTTGGACATAAAGCATGGTAACTTGACATATTGCCCCTTACCATGTCAATCAATTGGTCCACCTAATTAAAGGATGTCTACAAGTAACACCTGGGAAGAGGGCTCCAAAGTTTCAGTCAGGAGTCTTCCCTGTCTTCTCTGTTGTTAACTGAGATTGAATTCTCTACAAGAAAAAAACACAACCCTCCTGAACTCAGAGAATTAAAAATGGCAGCAACAGACATGAAATGCAGCCAGTTCTATTTTAGATTTCTGTGCAGTTCCAAAGCTGGAGCCATTCCCTGGATACAGTACAGTTTGGCAGATGTAGATTTGACTAGGCAAGTTTTACTGACAAATGGCAAACTGTGTAATTTCAATTCTGTATGGGCATATCCACACTTTCTGCTTGGCCCATTGCCAGTATGGGCCGCTGACTACTTTCAGGCTGTAGGAACAGATGACATCATCCTTGTCCCACTCCCAACCCTTCACACATGCATCCCTGCCTGGAATTTTCCAGCTTCCATTCAAAACAGCTGTTCTCAGAGCTTTGTTCCAGTCTATTAGCACTCTAGTTCTGATTGGCTGCAGTGTTTATCATGCTCTCTTCCCTCCTCTGGCTGGCCACTGGGCTGACAAACATAACAGGCAATTATGTTCTCTGCTGGTCTACAGTTGCAGTTTGGTTTTTTAATCTGATGTTTGTCTCATGACAGCCCATTAACTCATTCAAATACTCTCAACCTTGGAGGTTAATGCCCCATTCATCTACCTACCAATAGGCAGTCTTTTTCTGTCCAACTGGGTGAAGCATGCTTCTCTTGCTTTCTCAGTCTGCCTACAGGACTGCAATGTTTTGTTTTTTCTTTTGAAAAATATACCGTATTTAAATTGCAACACAGGAATATTGCAACTTTATTGTTATGAAGCTAACTTATCAATTCTTCCTTGCTAAGAAGTTTTAGGAAAAACATGAAGGCATAATTTCTGAATCAAAAGCTGGGCACATGCCTTTCCTGTATGATTTGGGAAGGACATGACCAGTCAGGACCTACAGTGGTTGTACTGCAGACTAAACACCAGTTGGTTCCATTGCAACCCACTGCAATCTAGACTGGAATTTTTGAAGTTGACTTTGGAAGCAGCCAGAAATAATGCAGGAAATGAGCATCTTATATTAGAATACAGAATTGTTCTCTAGTATGTTGAGGGGGAAGGGTGACCAATATTCAGAATCTCTAGAACCAATCATAAATCCCAAGAAAACAAATCAAACAATGAGGTGGGCAGAGATTAAAAAAAAGAAAAACTCAAACAACATTCAGGAGGTGCAGGAAACATACCCAAGCATAGGTACAAAAACCTTAAATGCTTATATACAAATGCTCAAAGCTTGGGGAACAAACAGGGCAAACTAGAAGCAATAGTACACAAGGGAGGGTATGACATAGTTGGTATTACACAAACCTAGTGGGGTGGATGAATGGAATGGACTGATGGATGGATACAAATTGTTCAAAAGAAACAGGTCTACAAAAAGAAGAGGGGGAGTTGCACTATATGTAAGAGAACACTACATATCTACAGAAATGCACATGATCAAAGATATAATCTCTTCAGAATGCATATGGGTCAATATAAAAGAGAAAAAAGTGACATTACCGTAGGTGTATATTACAGACCACCCAACCAATCAGAAGAAATAGATGAACTCTTTGCCAACCAGTTAACAAATGTATGTAGGAAGCGTACCACAATAGTAATGGGAGACTTCAACTATCCAGATATCAACTGGGAGACAAACTCTGCAACGAGCAGGATATCAAACAGATTCCTAACCAACCTAGCCGACAACTTTGTCATCCAAAAGGTGGAGGAGGGAACTAGACGTAAAGCCATAGTGGACTTAATTGTAACTAATAGAGAAGAAGTGATAGAGTTGAAGTTGCCTTAACTTTGGGCGAAAGTGACCATGTCATACTGGAATTTAATATAACACAAACACTAACAACAGAAAACAATCCAACCTCTTTTGAACTTCAAAAGAGCTGACTTTAACAAACTCAGAGAGAATCTAGGAAAGATCCCATGGATGAAAATCTTAAAGCGGAAAACAACCCAAGAAGTGTGGGAAACTGTCAAAAATGTGAACATAAAAGCCGATACCAGCACAATACCACTGAAAAAGAAAAACAAGAAATTCAAAAAGAAAACAGCACGGCTGCACAAACATCTCTCTGACAAACTGAAAGACAAAAAGGACAAATATAAAAAATGGAAAGAGGAGCACATAACTAAGGCTGATTATCAGCAGACAGCCAGAACGTGTAAAGATGAAGTCAGGAAACCAAAGGCTCAGAACGAACAAAGACTTGCAACAGAAATCATGGATAATAATAAAAAAAGTTTCTTCCAACATATTAACAAGAAAAAAGTCAAGGAAACTGTAGATACACTAAAGAAAGAAAATGGCAAAGAAATAACAGGCAACAGGGAGAAAGCAGAGCTGCTTAACTCATACTTTACATCAGTCTTCACACAAAAAGAAACCATAGCCCAATATACCAAAACCACTGCAAAAGACAAATTAGAAACAAAAATTAAAATAAGAAAATGATAAGAGAACACCTATCCGACCTTGATGAATATAAATCACCGGGGCCTGACAGATTACATCCCAGAGTTCTGAAGGAGCTGGCAGATGTTATTTCAGAACCATTGCACCACATCTTTCATAAATCCCGGAGCACCAGGAAAGTACCTGAGGATTGGAAAAGGGCTGATGTGGTTCCAATCTTCAAGAAAGGGAAAAAAATGGACCCAGGAAACTACAGACCAATCAGTTTAACATCAGTACCTGGGAAGATCCTAGAAAAGATAATCAAAAAACAGATCTGCGAACAACTAGAAGCAAACAAAGTTTTAACTAGTAGCTACCAAGGGGTTTGTTGAAAACAAATCATGCCAAACCAATCTTATTTCATTCTTCAACAAAGTGACTAAACTAATAGACCAGCGAAATATTGTGGACATAATATACTTAGACTTCAGTAAGGCATTTGATAAAGTAGATCACAACCTACTCCTTAGTAAGCTAAAAAAAGGTGGAATAGACAACATCACCATCAGATGGATCTGTAGCTGGCTGGCAAACCGAACTCAACGAGTAGTCCTCAATGGCGCTATATCCACATGGAGACAAGTAAGCAATGGGGTATCACAAGGTTCCATCCTAGGCCCAGTACTCTTCAATATCTTCATCAATGACTTAGATGAGGGAATTGAAGGGGATCTCATCAAATTTGCAGATGACACCAAATTGGCAGGAGTAGCCAACACCCCAGAAGACCAACTAAGGATCCAAAAAGATCTTGAAAAACTTGAACAATGGCCCTATCAAACAAAAGGAGTTTCAGTGTGGAGAAAAGCAAAGTTTTACATTTAGGCAGGAAAAATTAAAGGTACAAGTACAGTTTGGGCAAGACCCAGCTTAAAAACAGTAACTGTGAGAGGGACCTTGGAATCCTAATGGATGATCACTTGACTATGAGCCAGCAATGTGCAGCAGCAACCAAAAAAAGCTAATATAATCCTGGGTTGCATAAACAGAGGCATAGAATCAAGATCACATGAGGTATTAGTACCACTTTATAAAACCCTAGTAAGATCACACCTGGAATACTGCAGCCAATTTTGATCACCATATCACAAAAAAGATGTTGAGTTTGGAAAAAAATCAGAGAAGAGCAACTCATACGATCAAAGGCCTGGAGACTAAAACATACAAAGAATGGCTATGGGACTTGGGTTTGGCCAGTCTAAAGAAAAGAAGAAATAGGGGAGAGATGATAGCAGTGTTCCAGTATTTATGAGGCTGCCACAAAGAAGAGGGGGTCACGTTATTCACGTGAAGGATGAGAAACAATGGTTGGAAAGTGATCAAAGATAGAAGCAATCTGGAATTAAGGAGAAACTTCCTGACAGTGAGGACAATTAACCAGTGGAACAGCTTGCCTCCAGAAATCATGGCCATCACTGGAGATTTTTAAGAAGAGGCTAGACCAGTGGTGGTGAACCTATGGCACGGGTGCCATCACTCTCTGTGGGCATATGTGCCGTTGCCCCAGTCTTGCCTCCTCCCGTGACCCCCTCCTCACCAGCAGCCCCCCTGAAGGAGAGTCACCCCCGAGCATGGCCCATGCAGAGCAGCGCAGACAAGGACATGGCAGCCAGGCAGCGTAGACAGCCCATCGCACAAAGTTGATGCTGTGGGGCGCAGGCAGAGGGTGTGGCTGCCATGGTGCTGCTGGGTGATCTGCAATGGGCCCTGGAGGCAGTGAATGGCCCTGTGGGCAGGCAGGGTGGGGATGGGGTGGGGGCGGGGCAGGAGGTGGAGTGGGGGCGGGACCAGGTTTTGGGCACTCGGTCTCTAAAAGGTTCGCCATCACTGGGTTAGACAGTCACCTGTCTGAGATGGTATAGTTCTCCTGTTTGAGGAGGGGGCTGGACTAGAAGACCTCCGAGGTCCCATTCTATTCTATTCTTTTCTAGTCTATATGTTATGAAGTCATGACAGGAGTAGAACCAATTGGATCTATTATAATTACACATAAACAGGATCCGTGTTTAATTATAAGCGTTTGGGCAGGAAGGAGATGCCAAATCTGAATTAGGTTCAATTCTCCCCATAGATCTCCCAGACAGTGTTCCCATATCTGACCTCCAACACCACAGAATATTTATGGTAACATAGCATTGGGTAGGAAGTAGATTTGGCTTTTGTGCCTTGCATAAAAAGTTCTTCATCTGATTCTCCAGTTTATATATTGGGATATTCAGGATGAATGTAAATAAGGTTGGTTATCTGCTATCTTACATTATTTGATCCAGAGCATCTAAAGTTTGATTTCCACTTCTGCTGATTCTTTCCCTGGTTGCTTTTTCAGATTCCCATTCTGCAGCTACAAAAAGCAAAACTAGTGAAGACATCTCTCAGACCTCCAAATATAGTCCAGCTTATTCTCCAGATCCATATTATCACTCAGAAACAGAGTACTGGACTTTTCAAGGTTCACCCAAAGGTAACAATTCTGAATTCAGGACACTAAAATATTTATATTCCAACTCTACCCCATATGTCAAGGACATATTGGGGGAGATTATATCTGAGATCTCCAAAGGAATGTCAAGGTGGGGTTTTTGTTTTGTTTTGTTTTTGTTGACAAATAACCTTGGCTCTCTGAAAGCCTTCGATGCAGTCCCCGCATATGTCCAAGTTAATTACCAGGTTGTAATATGATATAAGGAGGGAATTATTGCATGTACGGCTGGAGAATACATATTCGATTTCTTGAAATATGAACATAAGTGATGTCACACAAAATTTATCTTTTATTCTGGACCCATCTACTTTCAACTCTTAACAGCACCCTGACTTCCCACTCTCACTCCAGTGCACTTCAGACTTTGATGGCCCTGCTGAAAAGAATAGATCACAACAGGGCAACAGAAATCAATCTTAGCTCATCCACTAATAACTTTTTGCCTTACTCTGTATGCAAACTCCGAACTGAATGCTTTCCCTATATTTGCTTGTAGCTCCCCGAGTTCGAAGATTCTCATCAGGAGGAGAAGAAGATAGCTTTGATCGAGGGATGCACAGAGTGAGTGTTCAGCTTTGATTAACTCTTGCCTCTGCTGTTATACTGGTATAGACAATATTCTTTCCAGACCAGCTCCCCAAGACCCTTTTCTCTTTGGGGTAGTAAACTTTCAGTGTTTTTTTCTATAAAGACCTCTAGTGCAGTGGTTCTCAACCTTTCTAATGCCGCGACCCCATAATACAGTTCCCCATGTTGTGGTGACCCCCAACCACTTATACATCACCGGGTGCCAGGGGCGTGGCCAAAGAAAAGGGGGGAAAAATGGCAGCAGCCTTGTTTGGCAACCCCTGTGAAACGGTCATTCGACCCCAAATGGGGTCCTGACCCACAGGTTGAGAACCACTGCTCTAGTGCATTCGAAAAGAGGACTCACAACTTGGCAAGGAGTTCAGCTATCTTCTCTATAGCCTCAGATAAAGCCACTTTCCTCTAGGATGAGGTGGTCCAGCCTTCCCCAATCTGGTGACTGTCAGATATGCTGGTCTTCCAAAATTCATATGGTTGGCTGGATAATATGGAAATTGAACACCATCCCATCTAACACTGATAGTTGCTAAAAACAATGACCTATCTCATACAAGAAGTTGCTTCTGCACATTATTGTACTGTATTGTAATTGTATGGCTGCTTTAGATCATTTTATTAATATTAACCAAATATTAGTCTTAAGCAGATCTTTCTGGAAAAACAAGATGCTCTATTTTCTATTTTATATATAGCTGAAAGAAAAAGTTTATCTCTATGCCTCCTATTCTTTTTTACCTTTACCTTTTAAAATATGTAGATCCAGACAGGAATTGGCCGATTGATACTGAAGGAAGAAATGAAGGCCCGTGCTAATTCATACATGGACCCTTGGACGCCTCCCCGCAGTTCAGCAAGCAGCAGAGAAGCTCTTCATACAGCAGGCTACGAGAGCTCCTTAAATGGCTGTAAGCAACAGCAGGCACATCACAACCACTCTGCCTACCAGCAGAGGGCTGTTTTTAGGAACACCCAACAGTGAAAGATTGAATAGTCATTAGCTGACTTTCTGTAGGAGCCATGACTGTATGTGAGGATCCCAGAGCACTGATCTCCCACTAAAGTATTGAGATCAGATGAGATCAGGTGTTCAATCTGCTAGCACTGGAAAGCTCCAATGCTGACAGCTCAATGCCAACCAAGAATAGACTTGAAGAAATTTGTACAATTGAATAGAACTATGGATGTGATTATTCCAGCTAGATTTTACTTGCTCTGTACAAAAACATAATAAAGGTGATGAAACTGGGGCTAAATGCCCATTAGCAAATTATTATAATTTCTAGTGATATAATAGGAATGAAAACAAGTTTTATATCAGCTCAAAAATCTTGGACCACACTAAAAATTGCTAGTGGGAACTGACTTTAGAGGTAAAAGAGCCCTGAAAAGAAAGAAAATAACAGCAGCCATGGAAGACGAACTTTATATGTTCAGAGTGATTAAACAAATCAGTCCATTTGCTTAATGCTGTTTCTGACTCTTATACTGCATTTCTTTGCCTGATCAAACCATCTGATTTTTTTGCCATTCTCAAAGAAAAAGCCAAAGAATAAGCTCTTAAAACCTTTACCTGTTAATAATTCAAATGTAACTTTGAACTTCACCTTTCCCATATGCATATATCCAGCTCATGACCACCGTCCCTACTCCATCTCTATTTCTCTATAACTTAATTGCCCCTTAACTCCCAAGCATTTTTGCCCCTGCTCTGATTAGGGAACACTGCTCTCATAGTAATTCCTGCAGATCCAAAATATCCCCTACTAATGCTAAGGAACATCAAGAAGCAGCCTTTAAGTACATCCATTTTACTGCTGAGATGAGCTAGATGTCTGAAAAGATTTCTGGTTGTTTCCCTATTGGTTGTGTGCCACACATACTGTACCAGGCTAGGTGATTCATATGTCTGTGTTTTGTTGTAGTTATCTATTTCAGGAAGCTAAAATAAAATTTAAGAGACTGCTCTCTAATGTTTGAGGTCAAGACTAAGCATCTAACAATAAAATCATACTCACCAAAGCCATATATTCCAAGACACTTGAATTTAATTGACTATATGAATCACTTTGTATGTATCGCTGTGTTTCAATGATGCAATGTGGATTTACTACATACATTTTGTTGCAACATTAACTTTTGCACTATAATACACCCGAATTACCTTACTAAAGTTGGAATCAAAATAGATTTTTATTAAATGAACTACTTTATCTCACCTACATTATTTTGATAGACAAGTAGAGTATGAATGAAAGTTGAAGAATTACAGGTGTGCAACAACAATAGCATCCACTGACCACCAGATGGGACTATTGTTAGCTAAGCAGTTGTTCAATTTTTTAAATTATTATTAAAGTCAAACTGGATCTGGCATGTGTGTGCATCTTTTTGCCACTCTTAAAAAAAATAAATGCAAAGCAGCCTTAAGGGCTGTTGGACTGAGGCAGATAAATGAGATAGGTACCTGGCATCCATAATACAAAGTCTCACTCAAAACTCATTATTTTTAACTCTTGATCATAAAAAAGGCAGGGGTACCCTGTCTGGGGAAGGTTTTGAGCAGAAAATGTTATATAAGAGCAACAATTTAAAACAGAGACATACAGTATACTACAATTATGCTAATACATGGCAGTATATAAAACATGGAGTCCAATGTTTTTTTTATTTAAAAGTTTTATAAATTTATTACAATATAAAACCCCCCACCCCTTCCCCCCTCCCCCACTTCCCAGAGCTGATTACAGGGTAAAAAATAAATTAAACAAACATAATCTAACTAACATAAACCAACTATACTATCAATCAAAACCATAACACACTTTAACTCCTTCTCAAAACAAATATTAACAAATTAAGTCAAAAATAATAATATAATTAATAATAATTATCTAAAATCTACTCAAAAGCAAGATAATACTTTTCAATTTCATATTTCTTCTGAATGTAATCAATCCATCTTCTCCAAACCATAATATAATTTTCTTGTGAATGATTCTTCAAGTAGGTGGAGATTTTCACCATTTCTGCTAAATTAGACACTTTAAGTATCCATTCTTCCAAAGTAGGCAATAAGTTTTTCTTCCAATATTGCCCCACCAATAATCTTGCAGCTGTTATAAGGTTCAACATCAAATTAGTTTCTTTAACATCAAAATCTACAATAATACCCAACAAAAATAATTGCGGAGTAAACTTTATCTTTCTCTTAAAAATCTTTTGAATATTCCACCAAATCTTAATCCAAAAAGCTTTAATATCTCTACGTCCACCAAATATGAAAATAGGTTGCATCTAAATTTCCACATCTCCAACATTTGGGCTATAAATTCGGATACATGCGGGACAACTTTTGGGGATCCAAATGCCGTCTATAAAACATTTTATAAAAATTTTCTCTTAAATTTTGCGCTTGAGTAAATTTTACATTTCTAACCCAAATTGTCTCCCATGTATCCAATAGAATCGGCTCTTGAATATTTTGCGCCCATTTGATCATACAGTCTTTAACTAACTCTGTTTCAGAATCCAATTCTATTAAAACATTATAAATTCTCTTTATATGAGCTCGACTTTGATCCTTAATCTGTTTTACCAAATTCACATCCTCTAAAGTAATACCAACCTTTTGATCTATACTCCATCTCACTAACAATTGGTTATAATAAAACCAAGAATATACAATATTTTCTTGCTTCAACTCAGTTAAAGACTTTAATTGCCAATGCTGCCCAACCAAACTAAGTAATTCCTTATAAGAAATCTTATCCAAATTTACTCCCCTAGATACTCCCTCAATCACGTATCCTGGAGCCCCCCAAATTGGGATTTTATAATTTAACCTATAATAATATTTCTTCCAGACATGCAACAAGGCACTTCTCAAAATATGGGTTTTAAAAACCTGATCAACTTTTTTATCATAAATTAAATACCCGTGCCATCCATATAATAAATCCCATCCCTCAAGAGAAAGAATATTTTTATTTGTTAAGTTGAGCCAATCACTAATAAGCGTTAAAGCCACCGCATCATAATACAATTTTAAATTAGGTGCCTTCAATCCTCCTCTTTCCCGTGTATCCTGTATAATTTTAAATTTAACTTTCTGCTTTTTCCCTGCCCAAATAAATTTATTAATCCCCTTCTGCCATTCTTCCAGGTTAGCATCTTTTTTCAAAATAGGTATTATCTGAAATAAAAAAAGAAACTGTGGAAGTATATTCATTTTAACTGCCGAGATTCTCCCCAACAAAGATAATTGTAATTTTTTCCAATCATTTAAGTCTTTTTGCACTTTTACCCATAATGTCTCATAATTATTTTTATACAATTTAGCATTAGAAGCTGTTAAATGAACTCCTAAATATTTAACCTTTTTCACTATTTCGAAACCTGTTAATCTAACCATAATATCTTTTTCCTTCATAGACATATTTTTCGATAATATTTTAGTCTTACTATTATTTACCTTAAAACCTGAAACCTTCCCATACTGAGTTAAAATTTCAACCAAATCCCTAACCAAATCTGTCGGTTGAGATAATGTTACAACCAAATCATCAGCAAAAGCAACATGGGGTCCAATGTTTGTACATGCAGTCATAGTCATGTATAGAGTCATATACATGTATATGCATGCATTTACACATAACAACGTCTCATGGTCCATCAGTGCTGTGTTTTTTTGAGAGAGTTGAAACTCCTGCAAATAATTCCTCCCATGAACCCCTAGGCTCATTTGGTGCCACTCTGGCCAGTACTCTGTTGCAAGCACCATTTTTTTGTAGAACTTCTTAGTGCAGAAACTGGATTTGCATTAATAATTGGTCTGTCTTCTACACTGAGAGGGAACTGTAGTCACTGGCTGATTAGGAAGAGTCCAATTAATTAAAAGTAAGACTGTGGCAAATAGGCAAGTGCAGATGGATGGAAAGTATTCAGGATGGGCTCCAATTAAGCTACTGCAGAGGTATGTGCTGCACTCTGAGAACTAGTGGCCTCTTTGATGATTGGCAAATTTCAGGATTGCTCATTTTGTTTGTTTGTTTGTTTGTTTATGTTAATAGAGGCCTAAAGTTCATTATCCAGAGCCAGGTGAAAAATAATAGCTTGGATCCAGGGCTTCTGAAAAAAGGACTCCGCTCAGAAATTTGTGAAGAATATCAGATTGCACCAGCAAATGCTTTCACACCAAATCTTTCTTTCTCTCTCTCACCTCCCCCAGCATTCTTTTCCATCAACTAGTGTGCAGACAGGAACATTTTGGAGGGACGGAAGGGGTGTGTGTGTGTGTCCGTGTGTGTTATGGCTTTTGTGAAGTGGGAGTCAGGGAATCTGCTGACAACATTTATTCATCCAGAGTTCTCTAAAGTCATTATTATTTATTTTGCATACACTGTTGTTTATACAGTTTATAGAGTATATCAGGATAAGAATATTGTCATTCTGAAACAAAACAAGAAGATAACAAGAAACTCCCAACTCTACTCAGATACAAGGTACTCCAGTGGCACCTACTGCTTGGAAAATATCATGACATTATTCTCATAGTTGTGCCATCACCTAAGACAGTTTTTTGCATGAGTGTATCTAATTTAATGCTCTTAGGAAAAAAAAATATTCCAACAATGCGCCTGATATCTTGGTTTGTCTCCTTTTACAGCACCCCGGTCACACTACCTGGCAGACAGTGGTATGTGTTTCTCAACTTCCTGCCTCTTTTGCTTTGTGTTCTTCAATCCATTTTACCCCAAGAACTCTGATGGGGTTTAATTGGACTAGATTAATTATAGGACTCTTTACCCGTAAGTAGATGGTGATATTTATGGACTGATCTATGGCTTCACATATGTGCATCTATAATGTTCAAGAGTAAAGATGAAATGGCAACACTACTGTTAAACAGAGTGAAGTAGGCTACTGCTCTCAGGTTGAGAAACATTAAGTTAAACCAACTTGAGAGGCAGCTCTCATGGGGTTATTATCTGTTATTAAAGTCATTAATGTATATTGGGAATGGGAATGGGACTGTGTTTATATGTTCTGAATAACTTCCCTTATCATGCCTTGAGTGAGATTATTCTGCTATTCTGGAGGATGCAGTTCTTTCAAAGAAAATGTGGTGAAATAAATAAGGAGTCAGACATAAGAAAGAACAAAATCAGATCCTTGATTTGATTAGGCAACCTTGAACTAATCACCTTTTAGCAGTCATCCCAACTAATGATGAAGAAATTGGTAAAAGATCACATAGTTTACCACATGCTTATTTGAAGAAAGGCAAGATTTAAAAATAATATCAGTACAGATAGTCCTTGACTTACAACAGGGGTCCCAACCCCGGTCTGTGGACCAGTACCGGGACGTAGCATGCCAGCAATTGGGCCACACAAACAAGGAAAGCCCCATCCGCAGGATGCAGGCAGCACACAAAACCACACCCCCGCCAGTCCACGGAAAAACCTCTCTCCATGTAACCGGTCCCTGGTGGCCAAAAGGTTGGGGACCTCTGACTTACAACACTGAGCCCAAAATTTCAGTCATAAATCCAGGTACTCTCATGAACAGATCCACTTTTTTGCCATTTTTTGTAACTGTCTTTAAGCAATGCTGTGATCGTTAAGTGTAACTATTCCTATGGGTGTTTGTTTTTGCTGGAAACTGGCTGAAAAGACTAGAAACCAGCAAAAAAAGTTTGTAAATTTCAGTCGTGCGAGCAGAACGCTGCAACCGGGCCATAAAGGTGAGCTGGTTGCCAAGCGCCCAAAATGCAGTCACATGACTGCAGGGGTATGTGCAGCTATTGAACAATAAGTAGCCTTTGGATAGCCTGTTTGAACAGTCACTAAGTGACCAGTTGTTAAGCAAGGACTATCTGTAATAGTAGTAACTATGGGTGGACATTCTTTCTGTTTCTTCTGATAATTAGTACTGTTCTGTAGCTGGTCACAAGAAAGATACTTTTTCTTCATTGGAAATATTAATTCTGACTTGTCCTTTCTCTTTTTTTTTTTTCTCCCTCAGATCCCCTCATTTCAAAATCTGCTTCTCTTCCTGCTTACAGAAGGAATGGGATGCATAGGGTAAGAGTGGCCACTGATCTCAGCCCCAAGTGAAAGTATTTCCAATTATTTGTCTGGAAACTTTAATAAAATAAACGTTGTCCTCCCCATTATGATTATTTCTCATTGTAAGAATGAGAAGTTCTCTGGGCTAATGTTGAGAGTCATGTCAATGTCAGAAATGGGATTGATGTCCTTCCACAAGCATTATGCTGAGAGTATTGGGCAGTTGCTAAGCAACAGTTATGGAGACTCCTGGTGAAGATATGAACATATTAGATTACCAGTGGGAGTTTGGGACTAGAAAACCACAGCCACTCCTGCATATATAAGAATAGCTGGTGCCTTTGAATGGCTTCTTTAACTAGAGTGGAAAGCATTTGTCCAGTGTATAAAGTTTCTGCTTGAGCAGCAGTTTCATGATCTAAGCTCAGGCCTATGCACTGTATTCCATGGAGCTTGCTTATGGCTTTGTAGCACAAGCCACTGCTAAATGAGAGGAAAGTTTACATCATTGGAATAAATCCTGGATCAGATTCCCCTGGAAATCTGCTAGTCCTCTCTCTTGCCAGAATGTGGAGGTTGTCTGATACAGCTGGGAGATGGAAAGGATAAGGAAAGAGTTATATTGTGCCCAGCATTCCTTAATTTGGCCTTCTGTACAGGTATAGTGGTGGGACACTATCCCATTAGTACTGTTGGTTAGGATCTTCACAAATCCAGCCTGTTTCTGTCAATGGAAATTTTTTTAAAAAAGTTCCACAAAGGATGCAATGTATTGGGATAACTCTACTCATAACCAATCTTGTAATTTCAAAACTTTTACAATTTTTAGCTAATATGTAGCCTATTTCAGAACTAAACAATTTCATTAAGACTTGAGAATTATTGACATGCTAATACATCTGACTTTGGACAATCAATAAGATGACACTTAGATAAACCTCCTCAAAAGATGATTATGTGAATAACATTAAACGTTGTTATTGTGCACATTATCTTGAACCAGACTGGCATACAAAACTGAATATAAACAAGTAAAAATGATACTGGTTCCTGGGGAGAATATTAATATATAGCCAAAATATCCCAAATTGAAGCTTTAAGTCAACTTTCATTCCTCAGATTAATGTGTTGTTACCCTTCTGGCATATTTTCTCTAAAAAACAGCTAAGCAACTGATTTTGGAGAAGACGTTTATAAAAGTCACCTAGATTGTTTTGAGGCAGAAAAAGTCATTTCGCTTCTTATCCAAGAAGCTTCATTAGTTCTGGCCAGAACCGATAAAGTTTCTTGGATGAGAAGTGAATCTATTTCTACTTCTTCTTTCTTCTTCCAGTTTGCCTTTTGAAAAAGCACTTTTGAGACAACTATGACCTGGATGACTGAGAATCTCCACAGACACTTTTATTCTTTCTTCTCATCCTATACTATTTATCTGATTAATCTCCCCCTATCTGCACTCTCTTTGCCAGTACACACAAATGGCAGGGCAGGTTTATGAACATCTTTATTGAACCAAGCAAGTGTTTTCATATATTTCTTGCTGTAAGCAGCTATAAAAAAATAGAGGGATTTTTAACAGGATTGTGTTCCTGTTCCATTTACTGACCATTCCTTCCTCCATACTATACTTTTCTATGCAGCCTCCCAGCGCTGAACTCTTCCACTACGACAGCACAAATGCCGTCAACTGGGGAATGCGAGGTGAGTGGAATGACCTTAGGACAGATTTTTTTGGGAGGGGGGGGGATTTTTAGACTTGCTGACTGATAAGTTGGATTTTATCAATGTATTATGATGATGACTGTTTTTAGATAGGCGAAAGCTGTCTAAGATTGTGTGGCACATCCATGTGCTAACTAAGTAAATACTGTGTTTCTTAATTCTTAATCTTAATTCACATGTTCCCAGATTTTCTCCTATCAGGATTTATACTGGCCTGAGATTGTGTTCTTAATATTTCTGAAAAAGTGGATTCCAAAACTTTACAAACTGAAACAGAATTGATTGTGGTTATTACAAATTGGTGGTTCCTGTGAAATCAATCTGCAGTTCACAGTCTGCCCAACAATTAAAGGCGGGAAATATAACACTGATTAGATTCAAATGTCACATGAAGCCCACATGTTACTGGCTTCTGATATAAAGTTTTAAGATTTAATGTTAAGGAAAATTGTCATTAACAGAAGCAAAAACAATCATCCTACCAGTATTAATCTTTTATGGATAGTAAACACTGTTGTTGACATATAGTGGCAGTTGTAAGAGAAAGCACTTGGGACACTCATATCTATTACTATTAGCTTCTACTGTTTCAAAGATTGAATTATTCATTTTTTAAATATAATATACTAATCAAATGCATCAGGATAAAAGGCTTCCATCTCTAGAAACCACATATGTGTTCTATCAATATATTCAAATCCCCAAAATGGTCCATGGCCAAATAAGTTTAGAAAACACTGAACTAAACAAATCTATAATACATGACTACAAAGTCCTGTCCTCAAATTTAGCTTTACAGTGAATTTGTTTTAGATTGTTTTAAAGGTAATCTATAATGCTACCAATTATGATCAAGCAGGCCCCAATAATGCCTAATTTTGCAAATACCACAGTATCAATGGGGGAGGGCATTTTGCTTTTAAGTTTTAATGTAATAGTCCCAAGTGGGTTTGCAAATGCCAAAGATGCCATTGTTGAACAAAAGGGACTGGAGACTGACTTATCTTTTTTTGTCTCCCTCCCTCCCTCTCTCTTGTCTTATCTTTTTCAGAATACAAGGTAACATGCTCTCAAGAATCTTATGAGACCTGTAGAAACATGGATGCCCTTTCTTTGAAAAGCAGGAAGCTGTCACTATAGTAAATAGCAACCAGAAAAAGTTGCATTAATAGCTGAGTTAAAAGAGAATCTGATCTTGTTCCCTTTTACTATTTCTGGTGCCTTGAGTACATCTGTTTGAATAAAGTCATCATCAATGCCTCTTACTAAGTCAAGAGTTTCTCGACCTTTTGCCACCAAGCTCCTTTTAGTGTATCTTAATATACATACCTCCCCTAAAAATCTAAATAGCAAAATGCACAAATGAACAATGGAAACATGACAAGTTTCAGTGTATTGTTTTCATTGTGCTCATTTTGGTGTTTGGATGGTGGATTTATTGTAATAAAGTAACTAAAATGCTTCCTTCACATTTGCCTGGTCTCTGTAGCTCTCCCAAAAAAGTATAGCTTACAGTTTGGGAAACCCAGTCCTAAGTTGTGAACTTCAGATATACTGAATTCCCATGATCATAAACTAACATGGCCTTGGAAGATTCTGACTTTGGTTTATGAAACTTTTTATATGATGATGCTGAGCTGAATTTGATGATTTAGAAAGATATCCTAGTATTCCTTATAGTTGAGACATATAAAAAAGAATTGTATGATAAAAAATAAGAATTGTATGAATGAATGAATGAGTGAATGAATGAATGAATGAATGAATGATAAAGATCCTTTGTGAAAGTGTGTGCTTTTGAAGAATTAAATAGATTTAGCAATGGGAATACTGCTGCAGGAATGCTAAGGGAAGTTAAAGGATAAAATGAAGTTAAAAAAAGGAGGGAATTTGAGGAATTAAGTAAAGAACATTATAAGTAAAAAAGGGATGAAAATGAACCTGTTGCTCGACATTGCCTCTAATTTTTATTTTTAACACTTGCTGGAAGCTTCTTTCCTATGTGCCTAGAACACCGACTTCCATCCAATTGCCAATAAACAAATGAAAATAAATCGTTTCCCATAGATATTGCAATTATATCCCATCTGGATTGTAATATCATAATTCACCTTCCGATTTCTGGAATCCCTTGGTTTCTTCTGGTAACAGATATCTGGCCCTTTTGCTTTGAGCCAGTATCAGCCTGAATCAGATTCTCCCAGAGCATCTTTACACTGAAAAAGTATAATTAGAGGTTATAAAATGTCTTTCTGCAAATTAGCATTTTGTGACCTGGTGCAGCTCAAATATCTTTGACTTCAATTCCTAAAGTATAAGCTGACAGAAGAGTACAATAATTGACATCCAGTATATCTAAAATTATGATGTATGAGCTATACTGGCTGGCAGGGTTTCAGAAAGAAATCTTTTCCTGAGGCTGCCTGAGGCTGAGAAATAAACTTGATATTTTTTTTTTGTATATGTAAAACATGACCTCTGTTACTGAGATACAGCCTACCATGTTCTACAAAGGAAGGCATTACTTTACTATTACTAATAATTACAGCATAATAGTAATAATATAAAAGTGATTTCTGCATCTTTTGGGGCTTTAGTTGATCATAGAAGCAATGGATGGAAACTAATCAAGGAAAGAACCAACCTAGAACTAAGGAGGAATTTCCTGACAGTGAGAACAATTAATCAGTGGAACGACTTGCCTCCAGAAGTTGTGGGTACTCCAACACTGGAGGTTTTTAAGAAGAGATTGGACAACCATTTGTCTGAAATGGTATAGGTCTCCTGTTTCAACAGGGGGTTGAACTAGAACAGAGGTCCCCAACCTTTTGGGCACCAGGGACCGGTTCCATGGAGAGAGGTTTTTCCACGGACCAGAAGGTGCATGGTTTTGTGTGCTGCCTGCATCCCGCAGGTGGGGCTTTGCTTGTTTGTGTGGACCGGTTGCTGGCATGCTGCAGCCCAGTACCAGTCCACGGACCGGGGGTTGGGGACTTCCAAGGTCCGTTCCAGCTCTGTTATTTGTTATCATTATGGCATCACTTGTGCTGCTGCTATTCTGAGTAAACAGAAACTGTAAATATCAGTGTTACACTGAATAGGATCACTATATTGTAATCAGAGAAAGCAGCAATATTTTCCAAAAATATTCTTGTACTTCTCTTATGGCATGCTTTAAATTGTGAGTTGCCAGAATCATATTACAATTGAAAAGTGCTTAAATCTAATTAAATTAGTAAATAAACAAACAAATAAACAAATACATTTTCATATCCACCAGCATTTTTACCCTGATTGCTTCACAAAGCAGTATGAAACCAAGCCATGATTATCTTCAGTACTCATTCTCTTTCTTCATAGCTGATTAATAGGAGATGAAAAATAAGACATCCTACCAATGTCCCTGATGCTGAACTATCATGGGACATGGAGTAATAAAAATCACATCATCACCATGTCACACAGAAAAGGAAATAAATTAGTAGCAACTCAATCCATATTTTACAGTATGTTAAATTCTTTAGTGTTTCCAAAACAAAGAATCCCAAAAAGTTATAATGGAAAACTATCTGAAGAGGATAATTTCATGTCAGTTTTTTTAATAATTCAATAACATACAAAAATCTTTAGTACAAATCTCAAGTTACAACATCAAATATTTCCTCTCTTTTTCCTTTAATATCTATCTTGTATTTAAGCTAATCCAGTTCTTATTATATCAACTAAGTAGAAACATCATTATTACATTTATCAATAAATTTTTAGCTTATACATATCTTTATTACTTTTACATTCAGTCTTTATAGACAATCAATGTCCTGTTATTGATTTTTTTCCCAATTTTTAGTTTCCCATCAATATTCAAATTTAACATTTGATATTTATAATTTCCAGGCTTTAGGTAATCAATTCAATTCATAACAGAATCTAATATTCAAAATATACATCTTATCTATTTAAGTATAGTCTTGTTCTATTTTCTAAAAGTTATCTATTTCCCACCATATTAAATCATCTAATTAATAATACAGTATCCCCTTTAATAAATCAAAACCATTATATATATTGTCTGGGTTAATAAATCAAACATATTCATATTTTTTTTTCTTTTGGGTCTAATTAAATATTAAACAAATAGAATCCTTATTTTTAACTAGTTTCCAAATATTTTAAATTTCATGACCAAAAAGTCCCCTTATCTCAACTTCTCTCTTTAACCCTCTAATTAGTAATATGAAATCCCCTCTAATAAATCAAAACCCCAATTTTCTTCAGCCTTATTCTGGCTTTCTTCCTTTGCCAACTAGCCTTCTATGTCAGTGCTTTTAAATCATCAAATAGATCTCCCTCTATTATTATATATATTATTTGAAATAAGAGAGACCATTTAGTTGCCATTTTTTGAGAAGGGCTAGCCCATTTGTGTTCATTAGATTATCTCCCTATTATTCCAATTCCCCATGATTGTCCTGATATGTTTATCTTCCATTCAATCTGTTCTTCTTTCTCCTCAATTTTTTTCTGATTTATATAGAAAGTCTTTTCCATTTTCAGTGTTGTCACTCCCTTTTATGGATTTTCCATTAACTGTATTTGTTGGTCAATTGAGTCCTCTGATATTTGATTGTCCCACTTCTGTTATCTTCTGTGTTGTTAGTTCTTTGGTTGTAGTTAAAATTTGGGTTTGTATATCTAAGCTGGCATCTTGTTCTTTTATGTTGCATCTTATTTTGTCACAAGCTGAAAGAATGGTTTCATATATTGCTTTCAACATGGAAAGGATCCTTTCCTGGTCTTCATCCATATTCTCTTAATAGTGTGTTGAGGACATTAAAATCAGACGTTAAAAATAATTTTATAACTAGGTATGGGACCTCTATTTCACGTGTTTATAGGTAGTGTTTATAGTAGAAGTCATTTGTCAAGTAAGATTTTATAGTCAAAGGTATTTTATCATCTCATATAATAACCAATGTTCCTCAGATAAAGAAATAGGAAAGCAATTCCCCACATATAGTTCTGAAAGTCAATAAAGGTTTACATTCATAGTTCAAGCAGGCCAGAAGTTCTCTTTACAGCTGAGTTTCTCACAGGTAGTATCTATCAAGGTCGAAAGAGTTTTATCTGAAGTCTGGGCTTCAAGCCAAGTCTCTTTTAGGCAATAACAAGTTGTAATACCAAACGTTGCCACAAGATGTCAACAATGCCGTTTAAAGTTTTTTAAGTCCAACATTTTTATAATCCTTTTTCCAATTTAATTTCTTTTTTGTAGATAAAAACAAAAGTCTCCAGTAAAAATACTGGAGAAAACTTTTGGTTCCCAAGTTTCAGAAACACATAAATCCTATTAGATTAAAATTGTTCTTTTAGTGCTTTAACTCCCCTGGGTAGTCAGTCGCCACTGTTCTTAGAGAGTGGGGTAGAAATTCCCTTCCCTCTCTCCTCATGGGGAAAAGATACTTTGGGCAGCTTTTACAGGAAAAGTAAATACTTAGGATCTTAAAGAGAAGATCGGATCTCACCCAGTTTCATCCGCATTGCTTTAGAAGTGCTTGATGGTAAGTTTGACTTCGGCTGTCTGCAGCTTAGTGATGAGCCATATTGCTATGGCCGATCTTTCCTCTGCCAGTTTGGAGGGCTTTCCCGGATCGAATGGGAGGGCTGCTTCCCTCCCACGATCAAGCAGGGGTCCCTTTCTTGCTCATCGCCCCTACAAGGTGACTTTCGACCCTTTCCAGGGTCACCCAGCGGAACGAAGATGGAGCTCGCCTTCCAGCGGCTGTGGTGGCCGTGCAAGATGGAGCTCGCCTTCTAGCGGCTGCGGTGGCCATGATGGCAAACCGGAAGTCCTTTCATGTCAGTTTAAATGCTCTTTCCCTGTAAAGGCTTCCTGACCACATTCCACCATTCATCTGTGACAATTAAAACCCCCTCTAAATTTGTAAATGAAATATGAAATATGCTAGCAATTTTGCAACCTTTCCAACAGAACACTGTGATAGGTGTCATATGACACTACCAAATGGGATGCTAAATCTCTATGGACAGAGCTTATGGCTAGGTGCTAGAAAGCAGTATGACAAGTATTTTCCCCAATAGGAAAATGGACTACTTACAAAATTGACAGAGCTGCTGCATTTCAGTAGGTAGGAAATAGCAGCATTGCTGTGATTTCTAATAAGCTGGAACAGAGTCAAAAATAAATAAACTCACTTCCCAAAATAGAAAATATTGTGAGATCAATCAGATCCAGGGCTAATCCTAAAATGATTCAAAATGCTGGTGTGGAAGCTCCCATACATGTTACACATTTTTTCAAAACTATATTCAACTAATTCTTATTTTTCTGATTCTTTGATCGAGCATTATTTCCCCCTCCTTCTTTTGCAGATATACCCTTATGAGTTGCTTTTGGTGACAACCAGGGGAAAAAATCGCTTGCCCAAAGATGTGGACAGAACTCGGTTAGAAGTAAGTCAAACCCAGCATCTGGAAACCTCCAAGTACTTCTGGAACCTCTTAAACTGAATCTTTCCATTCTTCTCAGCCTTGGATTTTTTAGTGTCAGGGAGATCTACTATAAAAGACAGCAAATCTGCTGCATTTGGTAAATCCCCAATTCATAGAAATCCCTTAGAAAAGAAGTACTTTACTCAAACTGGGAGATGGAAAAATATTTTCCTTCCTTACATGTTCTTAGTAAGCCATACAACAGTAATATAAAGCTGCTTAAAATTTTTCGTTCAAGTTGAGTCTGATTCTTGATGGGGGTTTTGTAAATATATTAATCTAATTCTTTTGGCAACAATAAAAGGTAGCTTGCTATGACCTTCTTGATTTTTTTAAAATGAGTTTTGCAGCTCTGATATTTCTGTGTTTTCTCTCATCCTAGGACTATTCAGGCCTGACCCTGCTTAGCTTTTCAAGCGCACATAGCATCACCAAGGGGGTGAACAAAGTATCATAGATTAATGTGGGTAGTCCCAGTTTCAGGCAGAAACTGAAAGAAGCAGGCTTTCTTAAAGCCATTGTGTTTATGGTGCAGATAAGCTTTGAACCAAGGCCTTCCATGACCCCTTCCTATCCCTATTTTGCTTCATCACTACATCATTACAATTACTACATCACTCTGTGGACTGATTTAAAAGCACTTTGGAAAGGGGAGTAGACATTCTTTATAATATATATATATACATACATACAGCCTAACTATACAAGTACTATCAGTTCAAGTAGGTAAGGAGTGTGCTGTTTCAGAGCCATATTGCCACAATATTGAGATTGTGGCAACTTATAAATCTGATTGATTCATTGATTGATAGATGATAGAAGATGATGGAGTAGATAGACAGACAGAGCTAATCAAGAAAGGGGAAAATACTGAACCCACTACATGAAAGGAAAATAAAAATTTCTGTGCTTTCTATAAGAGTGCCGTGGCTTGAGCCACTGCAGTTTTCTTCCTTCCCTGCCATCTTAGATGCCAGCAATAGCAACCAAAAGATTCCCTGCCTTTACTCTGTTTTCATAGCTGCCTTGCATCATAAATGTGTAGGAGAAAACCAGACTGAGCCTGAGGGAGGGGGTCAAATACATCATCAGTCATGAGTCCCTGCATGTCAACAAGAGATCTAAGTCCAGCCCATTTTGAATGCCTTCTTAACTCCTGCCAATTTCCCTTGACCCTTAGTAGCTCAGATTCTTGTAGAGAGCTTAAACTTGCAATAAATCTTTATACTCATTTGAACTGCTTGAATCTCCTAATTTCTCTAGAGCTTGATAGAATATTCTTTCTAAATCAATTTCTTTCCTCATTTGTGTAACACAAGACAAATCAATGGTCCTTGCAACATATTGCAGTTAGAGTGCAGTACTGCAGGCCACTTTAGCTGACTGTGTTCAGCAGGTCAGCGGTTCAAATCTCACCGGCTCAAGGTTGACTCAGCCTTCCATCCTTCCGGGGTAGGTAAAATGAGGACCCAGATTGTTGGGGGCAATGTAATATATATATATATACATTGCTTACTGGTGTACACCGCTTAGAGAGTGCTTGCACTTAAAGCGGTATATAAGTCTCATAAATAAATAAATAAATAAATAAAATATTTTTCTTGTCTGTAGGTGATTAAGACTCAGGTTGTTTTCAGATGGACCTTTTGATCTACAGTTTTATGGTTCATCCTGATAATTTCCCAGTGGATGCAAAAATATAATTTATATTTCTTTAATAATCAGCTTAGATTTGGCCTTCTTTTTGTCAATTTTGTTCTAAGTAAAGAAATGGTAAGAAATACTTGGAGAGAAAAACCTAAAACAGAAACATAAAACATCAAAGATGTGGATATTCCCGACTGCTTCTGCTCCTAGAAGCTTTGGGCTTATTTATCACCCCTTCCTCCTCCATTTTATTCCTGAATACCAAAGTTGTGAGTATAGAATCTTGTGTATTACAGAAATGTTAATATTATAACAGCAGCAGGAGGAGGAGGAAGATACACTACTTTGAGTCTAGAAGTATTTTGTATAGAAAAATTAAAATGCATAAAGAAAAAGACATGAAAGCACACCCAACACTTCCTTGTATGTCTGGATGTGCTCATGAGGAATTGGAACAGGTAGGTGACAATGGGCTGGAAGAGAGACTGGGGTGAGTGACTCAGATATTTAGATCTCCAAATTCATCAAGGCCCACCTTTGGTATGAAACCTCTTTCAATAAACCAACAAAAGGAATTGTGTGAATAATTGTACTACAAACTCCAGAAACAGATTACTATGAAAGAAGGGTCTTGTCTACCCTCAGGCTCTCTCAAATGTAGAGTCTGAAGATACAGTGTAAATTGAATGTTGCCTCAGAGCTTACATATCTTTCAAATCAGGTGCCTGTTGTCACACATGTATATTAGCCACACTTGTATAACGTCACACTTCCCTGTTCTCTTTCCAGCGCCATCTGTCTCCAGAGGAATTTTACCAGGTGTTTGGCATGACTATTGCTGAATTTGATCGCCTGGCTTTGTGGAAAAGGAATGAGTTGAAGAAGCAGGCTCGGCTCTTTTGAAAACAGTATATATAAAAACTATATAAATATCTCTATATAGAAGCTCTGTATATATAGTACAGAGTAAAATCTCTGGCTGTTCTCTTTGGAAGCCTGTAGAGTGAACCGAAGTCTCACAGATATTTTTATGCTCTTTGTTTCTTTTATTCTTTGTTTTGTTTTTTTAATAAAGAGTAATTGTTATTTGGGAAACTTTTCAACTGTGGGGAGGATGTGGGAACCTGTTTTATACTGAACTGTTTCTTTTTCTTACATCAGTGTTGAGAACCTTGGGCATTATTGTACCTCACCCATGAGCCTCTTAAAAGCAAATCTGAAGAGATGGGATGATGGAAGTGGGGGCATGCTTTGATAGAGCCAACCATCTTTATACACCTCCCCTCTCCCCCATGGTTTCAGAATATCCAAAGTATGCTGCTCAATCAGGCCAAGGATTTATCTCAACCGGTTTTTGTCTCTAATGGTAGCTCAACAAATACCTGTTTCATTTTTCTGTTATTTTTCTCACTATCTTAATCATATATATATGGATAGACTTTGGCTTTGTGTCCTTTTATACTAGCATGTTTAAATCTTGATGTAAAATCACACACACACAAACACACAAAGTGTAAGAGAGAAAGAGAGAGAGAGAGATTTTGCATCAAGATTTAAAAATGTTGGTATAAAAGAATACAAATAAAGCCAAAGTATCCAGTCAGCATTCTTTTTTCTTATAGCAGACATCCAGATGACTCTTGGAAATTAAAAAGATGTGCTTTAAGTTGATGAACATACCTAACATTCCTCCCTGCAGCATCCAGTAATCAGGTTGATGTACGGAGGCTTTATATAGTTATTAGAGTAACAATTTTTAAAACTGTTTTTCCATGAATAAATATTAGTTATTAGTTATTAGTTACAGTGACACGCAGCTGTCTTCCATTCTTCTTCAGAGAACTGTAGAAAACAGGGCACAAAGAGACTTACTAAAATTCATTCTGGTTCAGCAGATACTCCTACCTTCAGGGAATAGGAAACTAGGTTTCTTGGAACACAACATTATATGCTCACCTGTACTTTAACTCAACTTTGGATATCGCTTACATTTGCACAGGTCTACTATACACAGCCTTCCCCAATCTAGTGCTCTCCACCCATGTTGGACTAAAACTTCCAGTATTCATACTGAACTATACGCACCAGGTTTGTAGAGGCTAGTTTGGAGATACAATCTGTGATATACATCCAATTAAAAATAATCTTCCTTTCCATTATTTCAGTTTCCTCTTATATTGCTAGTCACTTTAAGCAGTCAATTTTAAAAAACCATTGCTATGAAATAGCTTAGCCTTACAAACTTGAGGTCAAACTTTAAAAATAGGAAAAAATCACAGGGAATAACTGGCACTACCATCCAATTCTCAAGCAAAACAGTTATATTCCCTAATCAATAATTTGTTGAGTAAGGCATAATAGTGGAAATTCATTAACCATAGTTTAGAAGATACAATGACTTGATTCACATAATATCCTAAATTAAAATCTAATAAACTATCATATGGTTTAGCATGATATGTGAACCCTGTCACTGTCGTTCTTTAAATAAACCTTGGCTGTGGTTGTTAGAAAAAGAATGAAGCTTTACCCAGGTAGATGTGATGTGCAAAGCATTACATCTGAACGTTTATATGAGTTTTATATGTTTTCCAAAAACAGCAATCATATTGGGAATCAAACTTCGAATTTTCAAATGTGTATAAAAACTGTTGGACTATAGGGGGGGAAAGAGTTTGGAGAAGCCTTGGCACTTGAAATGTCTTGTTCATCTTTAATTTAACTAATTTAATTGCATACAGTATGTCTGGCCTTTCATGGTCACTAGCAACATTTCTGACATTGTGTCAAATCAATAGGATCAACTTCTAAATGAAGAAATGTTCATGGAATGTTTTGATTTGGGAGCTTGTATGCTTGTTCTTTCTTTAAAAAAAAAGAAATTTCTTACCTAATACACTGTTTGAACAAAATAATTGTGAGTTGTCTCATATTGTTTTCTTATCGTTTCTTTCCTCTTTGAATGAATTAGCTCCAAAGCTGAATCTATGATTTCCAACTAGGTGGGCAAAAGCTTTTCTCTCTATATTGTATGAACTGATTAAACTGCTCAGAGTCTCTGGAAGGGCAATGTAACAAATACATTCTTCTTTTACATATTAGAGACTAATGCCATATTAGTGTGGCATCTTTGTTGGTATCCAGTTTTGATTCTGTTTAAAGAAAAGCCATTTTGTTAATGATGTTCTTCTACTTCAATGTCAAGTTGACAATTGGTTTAGATGGTCAACAAGGCTGTCTCCAACTCATAATTTTAGGATTCCAGTGTTTTATTTCTCATTTCTGAAATCAATGATTATATAAGAATACAACACATTTTCCCCAGGAAGAAATGATTAATTCTATATTATACTGTGCATCTGCTTACTCTAGCTGAGAGAATGCTGATTACGTATTAAAAGTAATGCTGCTTTTTACACAGTGAAATTGTATACTGTATTACTGAAATCATCTAGCTTTTCATCATCCCCTAAGCATAACAGCAATTTTCACGCTCTTCCTATACCAAAATATAACTCTATTCTTACGTATTGTGGGCTAAGTGGACTCAAAGAAGCTTATTTCAGAATTGGCAATATTCAGGTTATGCCAAAGAATTGCTTTAGTGATGCTAAACAAAAGAAAGAAAGATAATCTCTTGGACAGTAACCAGATATTCTAACTTCTTCATGCAATCAAATAATGTTTACAATATTAATTGTAAGTGTAGTTAATAATTCAGTTTAGTACAGTAGTAAATGTATCTGGTCATATTTATATTGATTTATATTGATGTCAGAGAATTCTGAGAAGTATAAGATCTAAAATATATGCTGAGTTCCAGGTGGGCCAAAGCTGCTTAAAACATCTTCTGCTCCACGGAAGTAAAATAAGACTGGAATGTAAATGCTTCCATTAAATAGTCTGAAGTCATCGCCTGACTTAATATTTATGGAACAGTTTTCAAATTCAAAACAATTTTCAGAATTTACTTTATTCCAAAGGAAAGTCAGTTAAATTTAAACCTGTGAGAGTAGAATTGAAATTCTAGATAAAAGGTGAAGTTTTTGGGTAATCATATCTTTTTCAGCTCTAATGGCTTACTTTACAAAGTACTCTATGACAAAAAGGCAACTTAGCCTTCCTGTTTGACAAATAAATGTTACGTATGGAAGGTGAACCTGATGCTGTTCGCTTATATCCATGAAATATGTAGAAGCAAACACTTTAAAACTTGTATCTACAGAAAATATTTATCAGACTAATGGCTATACTGTAATATTCTGCTTTACCAATGTAGCTGCTCAGGACTATCCAAATGCTATGATTTCTCTTCCAAGGAGCTTACCAAACTGTGGGCATCATTTTCACTAGCTATAGGTAGCACTGGGGCCAATAGCTTTTCAAATTAATTTACTGGTACTCTTTTGATAAGGCAGGGATGGGGAAAAACCACAGGGCAATGTCTCTCAGGAAACCATGATGTAAAGGAGGCTGTTACCGCCAAAAACCACAATAACAAGGATGTCCTCCAGCAGGGAGAGGTTCTGCCAGCTATACTCTGCCCCTTGATGAAGAATCTGCTCAATTCTCTACAGATCTCTCTCAACAGAACTCACTTATAAACCAGAAGGCATGTCCAGCCTGGTCTATTCTGTTCCTGACACTTAAGATATCCTCCTTGTGTCCAAAGAATCCAGTCACAGGATCTACCCCAAGCTGACTGCTTTCAATCTGAGATGGCCCTAGGACAGGGGTCCCCAACCTTCGGTCTGTGGACCGGCACCAGTCCGTGACATGCGAGAAACTGGGCCATGTAAAATGGCGAAGCCCCATTTGCGGGATGCAGGCAGCACATAAAACCATGCCCCTTCCGGTCTGCAGAAAAACCTCTCTCCACAGAACGGGTCCCTGGTTGGGGACCACTGCCCTAGGAAATATGAGAGACTTAGGCTTAAATCTTAAACTTGATGTGAATCCTCAAACCTCTGTGTTTCTCCATTAATTATAACTGTGGGAAAGTGGCAAGTTGTTGTTTTTTCCCTCTGTGTGACCAAAATAAAACTAGTCAGCTTTTAGTCCACTTTCCATTAAAGGTAATTTGAAATGGAGCTAAATTTGCAGGAATCATAGCACCATATGAGAAGATTATATATACTGAGTTGAACATGAAACATTTATTTTCCTTTTAAACGCAAGTGTTAATATCATTTTTTAAAAATGGCACAATTAGAAATAATTTTAAGCATAGTCAACTTTTCAGAGAAGATAAATTCTGCCAAGCTTCAGATGATTACATTTGATAGTTTTCTAATGTTATATAATACTAAGTGAATGAAAATATTGTTGTTCTGGGTAATGAAATTTGTGGCCAAGTCATCAGCCTTATATAAGCGGCAAAAAAAGAGTTTTCTTCTAGAAAACGTTTTTGAATGTAGGTTTAATGGCATGCCTTAATATTCTTCATTTTTTACTTACTAGAAACGTTTGCATCACTGGATGATTTTTATACATATTAAAATGCAAATTATCTGCTCCCCCCTTAGGTTTATGAACTAGTTCTTATGTAAATTTGTTAGTCTTGATAAAAAAAAAATCTCAATGCATTATAGGACATGGATCACTTTCTCAGCTAAAGAAAAGAAGAAAATAATACTGGAAGCAAAATCCTACTTCTCAGAAAACAAATAAGTAAATTTGTCATTCAGAAACTTCTGTCTGTCTGTCTGTCTGTCTGTCATCATCTATCTATCTCCCCCCTCCCCCCAAATCATTCTCTGGAACCAGTAAAAAATTGGAAATGCTATTTCCCCAGAGTGAAGACGAGCTATTTGTGCCTAATCTCAGCCATGAAAATCAGATTGGGTGGTCTCTATACAGCCCTAGAATTTTGTTTTTTTTCATAATTCCTACTGCTGTTTTTATTTCACTTTCAATGGATTAGTTGAATGGATCTCTGACTTATGCTTCACAGTGTATGATGTATGCCTGGAACATATGGATGCACTCACAAAATAATCTCCTTCACAAAAATCTACTAATCTGTTTAATCTAAACCATCAGAAAGGTTCACAAACTGAACCATGAAATCATAGATATAAATGAAAATTGATTGCTTATTAGACAATTTTCAGATTAGATGACAAAGATTCCAGTTTATTATAGTCTATTATAACAGGTCATTGCAGTATACTGCCATAAAATATATACTAGCTGATTGTTAGTCCTTTAAAAGATCTGATGTTAGGGTGATGAGAACTGAGGAATACCAACTGATTTAATTAAGACATCTCTTAATTTTGAAATCTGGGCCAAATACATTTGTCTTTCAGAAACTCCTAAACTACTAAATATTTTGAAGGTTCCAAATTTACAGTCAAAACTACTACTAAGATTATATATAGAAAACTTGCAAGTAACATAGAATAAAGGATTAGAATCTGCTGTTTTGACAAATCAATAGCTTACAGTTTAAGTGAATGATAAATTGATATCCTATAATCTGTTTTTAAAAAGCCAGTTTGGTTACAGTAGTAAAAGTGTTGGCCTAGAAGCCAGGATATTGTGAATTTTAGAATTGCTGCCCCTTAGGTATGAAAGACACTCAGCTTTGGGTCAGTCACTTTCTCTCAGTCCAACTCACCTTGCAGGGTTGAGGGGAAAACAGGAGGCAGGACTACTAAATATATTCACCATAAAAAAGATGGGATACAAATCTAATAATATGGTCTTAAAATGTCATTAGGGTAGCAAAATATTACTTTGGGTTTAGTGACTACCTCAGAGAATGGGTAGTAAGGCTTGGGTTTTTATTTCAATATAATGGAATTTATATTCTGGATTAGAGACTAATTCACTTTTTTAAGTTATTTACAGTGGCACTATTAATTCACAAGATTGTTAAATGAGTATTGGGGAAATAACTAATTGTTAAACATATGAATGTGGTGTTAAATTATATTCTAAAAATTTGGAATCCATAGTGTTATGAAACATTTCAGATTTATCTTTTAAGGGTTGTAGCTAAAACACGGTTATATTCCACTGGGGAAAAATCTTATTATCCTATGAAGTCTTCTCTTCAGTTACCTTTCTCCTTTCTTTTTGCAGTTCATTTTTTTTTCAATTTCCATTTAACTTTTAATTGTATCAAGTTAATGCGTGCATATTAAAAGCAAGTAAAAATATAAGCAATTAGATACCCCAAAATATAACAGATAAAATGAAGACAAACATAATATATTATAAAGCAATCAATGTGGTAGGTAAATCCAAAGCTGCTAAATTCAAGATAATAATCTTGCAAACAAATATGGATGACTGAAATCTAGCATATTTACCTGGGATTAATATTTCATATAAAGCAGATTTATTCAGACTGTGATTCACTGCTAACAGGATGACTGCACCACAGTTTTGCTGTGGGAGAGATTGTATGACCACAAAATGAGGGGGGGGGACGGGAGGGCTTCCTGCACCAAATTGGCTACTTTGTGACAAACCCTCAAGTGAATGATGAGGTATGACTTCAAGCTGAGTGGTCTGTGAATCATACCAATAATCTGATTTTGTATTGCACTAAGGTGCTGAGAAATGCTAAAAGAAAGGCTTTTTTTTTCATGCATTTTCTCTCCTTTCTTTTCCTTCCCTCTCATCTCCTTTCCTTTCTCTTTTGTTTTCTTTTAACAAACCTGTATTAGTCACTTTTTACTACTATTGAGAATATTATAGGTGTGGATAATCTGTTTTCCCAAACTTCGCAAACTCTCATTATTATTGTACTTCTGTATCTTTGTCTTTGAATGCTAAGGAGTCTCCAGCCATTTCTGACTATTAGTTTTACCATCAGCCCTTCTAGTTTTGCCTTTAAGGCAGATGTTCTGAAATAAAATAGTACAGTACAGACATCCATCAAGGGCTATCCTTCCCATCAGAATAGTTGCCTCAATTAGCAGATGCTGGATGGCAGAAAGCAATAGCAATAGACTGAGTATCTGTCCTCGGCCTGGTTTGCTTGGCTGCTGCCCATAGATGTAGTGGGTGATGTTCTTCCATCACCTGTGATGATGGAAGAACTAGAAGAATCACATTCTGCATCTGGAGCTGCTTTTACAAAACTGTGGGTTTGTATGTGCTATGTCATTCTTGGGCAACAAAACACTTCGGACAAGCAGCCCTTAATGAATCCCATTGGAATTCAGCAACCTATCCGGGTAGAAAATATATTATAGGATTGCAATGTATCCCAGCTCCCTTTTTTTCTTCCTTGCCTTTATGTTAGTGTTGGCTCCTGGTGACTGCTTGGATTTTCAAAAGTAGTTTGCCATTGCCTTCTTCTTAGCACTGAGAGAAAGTGATTAGCCCGAAGACACCCAGCAGGATTGGAGCCTAAAGCAGGACAACTCATAGTTTCTAGCCTGTTGCCTTAATCACTACGCCAAACTAGTTCTTCTAACCCCATTTGTATGTGTATAATAAGTCCTGGTGCTGGCATTTCTAAGAACCTTTCTTGCCTGCAACTAACCATGCTGTAAATGTGCCTTAGCAATATTCTGGCATATCCCCACAACCTTGTTTTCATCTCATCCCTAGCCTAGAAGTGAAACAGCTGTGCTTTAGCTGTACTGGTCTTAAAAGGAGGTCTCAAAGTGTGGACAACTGTTAGGTTTCGTCTTGGAAAGCATTCAGGTAGAGGACAGTGACAGTACAGTTCAGATAGAGTTGGTGGCGCAGAGAGCAATTTTCAAGCCAGGATAGTTTTTCTGCTGAACCAAAGAAAGGCAGATTGAGCTTGAATTCAGCATTGGAGAGCAGCCCTAACTCTACTTAGGACTGGGGTGGGGGGGCTGCTGCCTATACAGGGATACACCAGAAGTGACCTGAAAATAATGGCAATCCTCTCTGCTTCAACCAGTGCATTGCATTTTTACTTACAAAGACAAGTAGTATCCTACACTCTCCAATATATGGCCAGGCATATTCCAAGTGTATTAATCACATACTGCCCAGTCTTTATGACCTCATGGCTAGAGTTTCCTATATGAAGTATGAGCACTGTTAGAAAACTAACTAACACGTGATAAGGAAAAATATGGTTCTTGAAGCCATTGGCAAAAACTTACTTTGCCAGAGTAATGTATTAATGACTTATTAGGCTTTGTAAACTGCCAAATAGTATGTGTCAAACACACAGAAAATGGGGGAAGGGAAAAGCTAACAATGCATTTGGAGATGTATCCTATGGGTCAGTTCAATGCTTAAATCTTAGAACAACTATTATATGAATCTGAAGCTTATATTTATTTGAACACTATTTTGCATTTTTGCCCGGAAGAAACCGGGAAATGCGAGTTAAGTAACCAATATCAGCCTGGGCAAACATAGCTAAAGGTGGATAGACACGTACCCACGGAGTGAGGAGATGGGGAAAGCAGCTCTAAAAAGTGACACAGTCAAGGAAGGGAGGGGGAAAGCGCGCGCCACAGAGGGGGGGCAGCGGGCTACGAGCCCGGAGCCCCGACACACGCGCGCTCCAGGGAGCACAGACCATTGTTGTTGTCTACTTCACAGACGGTCGCACCTGGTTCGGAAGGGCGGGGCAAGCGAGCGGAGTCGGCCCAGCAGCGGCGGAGGTTCGCTCCACGAAGGGCGCATCTTGGCAGAACGGCGCTAAGACCTGGCAGCCTTCCTGAGGCGGGGGAAGCGGCAGCAGGGAGGGACTGCGCGGCGATTGTTGAGGGAGCCGGCTGAGAGGTTGACATTTGTGTGCCGTGGAGCGGCGCGCATCCCTGTGCATACTCGGCGCCGGACCAAGCCGAGCCGCGCTGGGAGCTTCTCCGAGCTCAGTGGCCGGCTGTGGCAAGCGACATCGGCGGGAGCGCACGTGCTGCCCGAGCTGTCTCCTGCCTCCCGCCGTTCATGCTCCGGACCATGGACAGACTCAGCGGTAAGGCTTGCCCGAACAAGGGCTGTTCCGGCTTTCCTCTCAAAGGCGTCTCAAAGATTTTTAAAAATCTGTTTAGCGGGAGCGGCGGGCTGAGAGAAATGTCAGTTCGTGCTCCCGGGAAACGGCGCCGCTGCTGTTGCGTGCTGCCGAATATTGCAAGACCGTCTCTCCTGACTCTGAGGGACTCCGGGGTGCCGCTTTGGGAGGAAGGCTAATTGGGGCTGGGGCAGCTTTCAAAACCAGCGTAGGCTGCAGCGCATCCCGAGACGGCCCAGCGCTTCCTCTCCACGCGTTATCTGTTTGCACCAGTTCCAATAGGAAGCCTCGTTTCTGGGCACAAGCGCAGCAGTTTGCCCCCTGAACGGGAGCCCTCGGTCTGGTCCGGGGAGAGGGGGGCGAGCCACGCCCACTCGAACTCGCATTCACGACACGTTCCGCGTGGGGCAATTCCATTGTGGGGCTCGAACGCGAAGGGAGGGGGAGGAGGGGAGAGAGAGAGAGAGAGAGAGAAAAAATAGAGCGGGTGGGGAAAATTAGGTGGACATGGGAGAAGTGCAAGATTCGCGCGGCAGGAAAAATATTGGAAGCCTGATTGTAGGTTGCCAGATCGACTGTGCACTATCCACAGAAGCGTTTGGGTACACGCGCGTGCGTGTACGTTTATGAAACGGGCAGCCGTGACCACATCGAGACGGGGAAAGTAGAATTATGGGAAGTCCTCCTGTGTGGAAAAGACCTCAAGCATAGCCAGGCGAGCTGTGCGCACCCAAAAGCTTCCACCGCGGCATTGTCTTCTTAATAGGGCTTTGTGTAACCTGTACGCCGGAGGCGGAGGCGCGCGGTTGCCAAATGGCGCTCCTCGAACTTCCTTCGCAGGCTGACTGCGTGCCTCAACATTGTTTCTTTGCCGTTACTAAGATCCGTCGGGGACCAATGCTTGATGTTCGGTGCAAAGGCCGTCGAGGGTTACATCTTTCTTAAACGTACTGGGGGGGGGGGGTCTGCTCGGACAATGACTCGCATAACGTTGAGTCTGAGATGGAGAAGGCAAAATGATAGAGCGCTGCATGTGTTATTAGGCAACCTCGGTTCCAGAAGACGTCACGTGCTTAAGACTGTGGCTTCATCTGTGTGCATATGCATTGTGCACGAAAAAGAAAAAAACAATAACAATTCCTCAGAAAAGGGATCAGGAATGTTGTTTGAAGCTTTGAAGGGGGGGCATTAGTGTACAAAGACCAAGGAGATCTAGCCATATTTACTCCATATTTATTCACTGTTGTAAATATAAAATTAGATAAGCCAATCCAAAAGTACTAGACAAGAGGAGATGAGACTGTTCACCTGGGTTATGTGATTCTAAAACAGTGTTTCTCAACCTTGACAATTTTAAGGCATGTGGACTTCAACTCTCAGAATTCCACAGCCAGCATTGCTGGCTGTGGAATTCTGGGAGTTGAAGTCCACATGCCTTAAAATTGTCAAGGTTGAGAAACACTGTTCTAAAAAATGGCCAACCTGGTTCCTATTTCTGAGTTCATTTTGCTACATTACTTTGGGATAGCTGTTGAAAATGCTGGTGCCAGGTACAGAGACATATCAAAAACAGCCTGGACTGAACTTAGTTCCCATTGACTTCTGGGCAGCCTGTCTCCAATTTGGTGTCTCCCAGATGTGTTAAGGAGTCCCATCTGCCAGAATTTCTAGACAATGTTGGCTCTGCTACCTAGAATTTTGAGAGCTGTAATCCAAACACACCTGGAGGCAAGACCCCTGTTGGGGAAGTTTACACCAGAGGTCTGCTCTTAATTTTGAAAGGTTTTTCAAAGAGTTGTGTGTGCTGGGTTCATGTATCACTATGCAAGTATCCATTAGCTATCATGGTTTGGTTATAAGAACCTGCATCTTGTGGCCATCTTTGGTCTAGTAGTGATTAAGGCTAGAAAGCCAGAAATCATGAGTTCTAGTCCTTCCTTATGCATGAAAGCCAGTTGGGTGGTCTTGGGCCAGTCACTCTCAGCCAACTCATTTAATAGGTTTGTTGTAGGGAAAATAGGAGAAGGGTGTGTTGTTGGATATGTTGGCCACTTTGAGTTATTTGTAAAAATAAAGGTGGGATACAAATAAAGAAAGAAATGTCTCACCTCATGATTTCACTTCAGACATAGAAGAATAAAGAAAAAAAAAGGAGGGAGGAGAAGGTCAATTCAAGCATTCTTAGACACACTCATAACTAATTTTGCAACCAGAAGATCCTTAAATTGCTTTGCATATTTTAAAACTACCAAAAGAAGAGAATATTTGTAGCTCAGAATTGAACTTTTGGTGCCCTCTGAGCTTGGTCGTTTACTTGCAGATGTTTCATAATCCAACTAAGAAACCTTTTCAGGGCTGCAGGGAGTGGGGTTTGTTTTAATACACTGCCTTGGTTTGTGATAAACCCCATTTTCTCCTAGTTGGATAAGTTGGGTAATGAAACAACTAAGCTCAGAAAGCTCTAAGGACCCCACAATATTTTAAGATTACATTTCCCCAAGATGGAAACCTCCTGATGTTTTGAACTTCAGTCCCCATAATTCTCAGCCAGAATGGTCTAGACCAGGGGTTCTCGACCTTGGCAACTTTAAGACTTGTGGACTTCAACTCCCAGAATTCCTCAGCCAGCTTTGCTGGCTGAGGAATTCTGGGAGTTGAAGTCCACAAGTCTTAAAGTTGCCAAGGTTGAGAACCCCTGGTCTAGACTCTAGAGCTTGGTTTGCCCTTGTGAGGCCAGGGTGGGTGCGGCCTGCAAGGGTCGGATGCAGGCCACGTGTGGGACATGCCTGGTCTAAAAGTTAGACCTAATAACTGAAAGGTCTCAAACTGGGAAATAGTGGTTGAGATGATGTGTCCATATTTTGAGGAGGTGGACTTTTGCAATTCAGTTACTGGACTAAGAGAAAAAGATATTGTACCTTTATTTTTAAGTTTATTTTGGGGGGGGATTACACTTTTTATTGCACTATTTCAGTGACAATGACTTTTCATGCATTATCAGTCCTGAAAACTTTCCTTTTATCTCTCATTTGGAGAGAGATTGCAAAAGAGTCATGTTATAGCCATTTTGCCCTTCTTTTCATCTCATTCATGAGGCAGAACCAAACCTTGGAACTGCTTAGATTAGGAAATTAATTCTGATATAAGTTTTTGCAGGCTACATCCCTCTCATAAACTTCACAAAGTGTTATTCTGAAATAAGAGAATGGATGGATGCTCATACTTCATAGGAGAGAACTTTAGAAAAAAAATTCATAGGAAGGATACAGAGGTAGTAACAATTACTTTATTAAGAGTGACCATCCATAGAACAGTTGTTGGGTGTGATATAGACATTCTTGTCTTGGTGAGCTGATTAACAGATGTCAGCATGATTTTTTTTATTAGTCTTTGTAGCAGATTACTCTCTCTCTCTGGAAACTGGCATTCAATGGAATCTTAACTGTTCATATCTGGAAATGCTATGTATATCTCCTCTATATACAGGGTGCACATTCCAACAATAGTCTGAGCAGCTGTGAGGACAGCCTTGCTATGATATGTGACTATAAATAAACCCTCTTCTGCACTTGACCACCATTGGCTTCTGCTAAAAAATGAAAACTTTTTGACTGAAGAGGAGTTTCAGTAGAAAATAACATAATAATACAGTACTGTAGCAGCTGTCTGCAGGGCACTGGCACCAAGAAATAGGAAAATAAAATTCCTCTTTCCTGCTTACAAGGGTGGTACTAATATGATCTTACTAATATGATCTTTGGTTTGGTGGGGTTGAAATCAGAGTGGAATAATACTGCAATCCTGGAAAAGTCAGCCTTGCTCCCTTTTCTTACAAAGAAAAAAGGTCTATAATGGCACACTTCCTTTGTAGAACATGGAAATGGTCCCTGTCTCCTACCTTGAAGCTGCTATCTGACTATATTCAGGCCCTTGTCCTGTTACACATTCATTGTTGAGGTAAAAGTGAAGATCCAGTGTCTTTCAGGGGTTGGATTATTATTTCCATTATCTCTCTTCATAGCCCTTGCTTGGTTGGGGCTGATGGTTTAAAAGTCCATCACTCTCTGAAAAGACTTTCTTCACCCTGAATTCAAGGCTCACCATTCAGATGCTCAAAATAACAGAGTTGGAATTCAGTTTTTCTGCCCCATTTTTGCAACCTTTCTGAAATAGAAAACAGTTCTGTTGCCTAGTAATAAGAACAGATAATATAATTCTTACAAATGTTTTATTTACCAACTTGATCTCGGTAGAGAAACTTCTTAACTGAAAATAAGTTCTGAAATATAATGAAATAGATCTGCAAGTGACCAAGTGTATACCTTGGTTACTGGCACAAACTGTTTATATATAGACTGGATTACACATTATTGTTTTTAATATTAAATTACATTGTATTATGATTACAACTATCCTTTTCTATTAAAGCTCTAGGCAACCTTTGTGACATGTCTTCCTTCTTTTTAACCCTGTAAATTAGACTAGGAAATAATGACTTGACCAAAGTAGCTTAGCACACTTCATAGGAGAGAAATGTTAATCTATAGTGACAGAAATCAGCCCACTTTACCTGATTTCATCTCATGAAAACTTACGCCTTTTAATAAAAAATTGTTAGTCAGAAAGGTGCTGCCAGACTCCTGATTTTTAGCAGCTTTTGTATTTGAGGGCAGGTTGAACCTGCATTATCCAGTTCCCATGCAAAACCTTAAACACTGCACTGCATCAAATAAATAGTAATAATGTCTATTACCGGAAGAAGAGAGGATGCATTGGATGGTGTAATATTGGATTTAGTTTGAAAAAGCTTATATGTATCATGGAAATACAAATGGATTCAGTCATCACATTGTCTGTTAAGCACTTGATTGTAAAAATAGAAAAATAAATAAATAAAAATATCTCAATTTCCGATCAGTCATTTAGCAAGTATTCAAAGTTACAATAGACCTTCTAGAGCTATT